GGCTGGAATGCAGTGGCATGATCTCAGCTCACTGCGATCTCCACCGTCCAGGCTCAAGCAATTTTCCTGCCTCAGCCTCCCAAGCAGCTGGGACCACAGGTGTGTGTCACCACACCCAGCTAATTTTTGTATTTTTAGTAGAGACAGGGTTTCAGCATCTTGGCCAGGTTGGTCTTGAACTCCTGACCTCGTGTAATCCCAAAGTGCTGGGATTACTGGAGTGAGCCACTGCATGCGGCCCTGAATCTTCTTATAACAACCTGCAAGTATTGTTTTCTTCCTCTCAATTTAGGGATGAAACACCTGAGGCCAGAAAGCAACTAGAACAATGTTTGTGTTTGACACAAAGAAAGAATTTTTAAAGGTATTTATTGAATGAATGAAAGTTACCCAGGGGTGCTCGCACTGCCGTTGGTGGCAGAAGCAGAACAGTGGCCTCCAGGGTCTTTTCTCTTGGCTGTTTCTGTCTCTAGCCAAGGTGCTGATTCCCTGAGAATAAATCCCTTTGCCAGTCTTAAGTTTGAATATCCTCATCTATTATTTGGGTCTGATCATTTGCTTCCTGATCACCCAGCAGCGTGGACAAGACTAACTGAGTGGGAAAAACGTTTCCAAAGCCCCAAAGCACCATCACCTTTGTTCTCAGTCCAGTAGTAAAAGGTAGCAATGAGGCATGGTGTCCAAAGGGTTATTGATGAAGAGAGGTCTGTCCCAGGAGGCTTTGCTGTTGTGCCAGGACAGGGAGGGAGCTGGGAAGTACCTACAGGGCATGAGGCTTGATGCTCCAGTTCTCCTTGCTGGTGAATCACTCTCTCCCATTGGGCTGACCATCCACAGATAGGTGTTTGAATTTCATCTTGGTCAAAACAGACCCCTCAGCCAGGCGTGGTGGCTCATGCCTGTGATTCTAGCACTTTGGGAGGCCAAAGTGAGTGCATGACCTGAGGTCAGGAGTTTGAGACCAGCCTGGCCAACATGGCAAAACCCCATCTCTACTAAAAATACAAAAATTAGCTGGGCGTGGTAGCAGACACCTGTAATCCCAGCTACTTGGAAGACTGAGACAGAAGAATCGCTTGAACCCGGGAGGCAGAGGTTTCAGTGAGCTAAGATCACACCACTGCACTCCAGCTTGGGTGACAGAGTGAGACTCTGCCTCAAAAACAAAAATACAGACAAACAAAAAACTACCCAAACAAACAGAACAAAACAACCCTTTCTCTCCTCTGATCCGTTTTCTGAGGGGCTCTTCTTGAGGTCTGGATTTAGAAACCACAAGTGCCTGTGCTAGAGCGAAAGTCACACCCAGAACAGGTGGCCCAGATCTGGAACTTCAAATTATCAGGAAACTCAGAAGTTCTTTTGTCTGCATCGACTAGGTTTTTCTCATTGTGAACAACAGAACCAACTCTGACCAACTTAAGCAGAAGGTGGACGTACTTAAGATACACAGGTAGCTTGTGTCATTGGAGGAGAGTTGAGTAGGCCAGGGAGGGCACGAACACAGATAGTAACAAGAACCTGAGCAGCAGGAACTCATGTCCAGTGTGATTGGGGGGTTGAATTTGTGATTCATCTGCTCCCATTTTCTTTTTTTCTTTTTGAGACAGTGTTTCGCTCTTGTTGCCCAAAGTTGGAGTGCAGTGGCACAATCTCAGCTCACTGCAACCTATGCCTCCTGGGTTCAAGCGATTCTTCTGACTCAGCCTCCTGAGTAGCTGGGATTACAGGCATGCAGCACCATGCCCGCCTAATTTTGTATTTTTAGTAGAGACAGGGTTTCTCCATGGTGGTCTGGCTGGTCTCAGACTCCCGACCTCAGGTGTCTGCCCACCTCGGCCTCCCAAAGTGCTGGGATTACAGGCGAGAGCCACTGAGCCTGGCCTTCCCATTTTCTTTCTTTCTTTCTTTCTTTCTTTCTTTCTTTCTTTCTTTCTTTCTTTCTTCCTTCCTTCCTTCCTTCCTTCCTTCCTTTCTTTCTTTCTTTATTTATTTTTTGATTCAGAGTCTCATTTTGTCACCCAGGCTAGAGTACAGTGGCATGATCTTAGCTCCCTGCAACCTCTGCTTCCCGAGTTCAAGCAATTCTCGTGCCTCAGCCTCCTGAGTAGCTGGGATTACAAGTGTGAGACACCACACCCGGCTAATTTTTGTACTTTAAGTATAGACAAGTTTTCACCATGTTGGCCAGGCTGATCTGAAACTCCTGACCTCAAGCAATCAGGAGTTCAAGACCAGCCTTGGCCTCCCAAAGTGCTAGGATTACAGGCATGAGCCACTGTGCTGGCCTCATTTTCTTCCTTTCCCTCTCCATTTCATTGCTCTTTTTAATTTTTTAAAGTAGTTTTCTTTCTTTTTTCTTTTTTTGTAAGATGGGGTTTCACCAAGATGGCCAGGCTGGTCTTGAACTCCTGACCTCAGGTGATCCACCCACCTCGGCCTCCCAAAGTGCTAGGATTACAGGTGTGAGCCACCGCGACCGGCCGTAGTTATCTTTAAAAAATGTTTTTAATGTATTTATGTTTGAGACAGGGTCTCTGTCACCCAGGCTGGAGTGCAGTGGCACACTCATGGCTCATGGCTCACTGCAGCCTCTATTTCTTGGGGTCAAGCGATCCTGTCACCTCAGCCTCCCTAGTAGCTGGGAGCACCATAATGCCTGGCTAATTTTTGTATGTTTTGTAGAAACAGCATTTTGCCTTGTTGCCTATGCTGGTGTTGAAATGCTAGGCTCAATCAATCTGCCCGCCTCAACCTCCCAAAGTGCTGGAATTACAGGCGTAAGCCATTGCACCTGGCCTTTTTTTTAGAGACAGGGTCTGACTCAGTCACCTAGGCTGGAGTGCAGTGATACAATCACAGCTCACTGCAGCCTCAAACTCCTGAGCTGAAGCAATCCTCCTGCCTCAGCCTCTCAAGTAGCTGGGACTGGAAGAGGGCACCACTATACCTATTATTTTTTTTATTTTTTGTAGAGACGGAGTTTCACTATGTTGCCAAGGCTGGCCTCAAACTCCTGTGCTCAAGTGATCCTTCTGCCTCAGCCTCCCAAAGTGCTGAAATTATAGGCATGAGCCACCATGCCTAGCCCATTTTATTGCTCTTACATCAGGAGGTTTTCAGCTGCAGGTAACAGAGATCCTATGAATGGCTTTAAATAATAAAGCTATTTCATTACCTCATTTAATGAGTAGTCTGAACACACGTGGTGTCAGGGTTGGTTTGGCAACTCAAGCATGTCACAGGCTTCAGCTCTCCAATTTTTGGCTCTTCAGTCACAAGATGGCGGCTGCAGCTGCAGATATATTCTCACTGCAGTATCCCAAGCAGGAGAATAGAAGGACAGCAACAACAGAGGGAGGGCTTTCCATACTTGATTCATTCATTGGTTGGAACTGGGTCACACCTAGCTACAAATAAGGCTGGAAAGGCAAGAATTCGGCAAAAGAGAACAGAAAGCAGTGATTGGCTTATACCAGGGCTTCATCTCCTGGAGCTGGGCACATTGCTGCCCAAAGCTAAATCAGGGCTCTGTTAGCAAAGAAAAAGTGGGCAATCCCTCTTAAGATCTCCCTTCCCAGCAAAGAGTCAATGGGCCTGGCTTAGGTCACCATGTCGGAGTCACCATGTATGACTGAAAGGTGATTTTCCAAAAGGGAAAGCAGAATTCTGGGGCTAGAAGAAGAGAGCTGGAAGCTGAGTGCAGAAAAGACAGCTTTGTCTCCTCCAACCACTGGCCGTTTCAGATATTGGGCTGTATCACGACCTAGCCAGCACCGGCTACATCATCTGTGGGACCCAGGGCAAATAAAAAGCAGGGACCATGGTTCAAAAATTATTAAGAATTTCAAGCACAGAGCCTTTCTGGACAGAGAGTCCTGTGTGACTGTATAGGTCACAAGCTATGAAGCCAGCCCTGGGCCTAACCCAGAATCAGAGTGATTGCCCCAGGGAGAGTAAGCCTTGCTGGGGTGTTTTAGGGCCTGTTTTGTATAAAATTGGGTTAAATCATTAATTGATAGGTAGGGAAGCTGTGGTTTATATTGTTATAATTAACATGTGTCCAGCCCTTTGCACAAACACTGTGAGTCAAGAAAAGAGGCGATGAAAGCCCTTTGTGTGTATAACCCTGGGCAGAGGCAGAGTTCCTAGAAGACAGAGCTCTCCAGAAGTTTCCAGTCTACTCCAACTATCAGCATACAGGGGATGGCGAGTTGCTTTTATTCTTCATGCCCATTCAAACTTGTAAATTTCAGTGTATTGCTTAATCATCATAGTGGCGCTGTGTGGCTCAAAGTATTATCACCATCTTATAGATGAGGTCACTGGGGCTCAATGATCCATGCCAGGTCCATGGTCATCCATGGTACATGCTCAAACTGGAACTGGAAGCTAGGCAGTCTAAATCCTTGCATCCGTGCTCACCAGCACTGTGTGTCATTGAACAAATCTAACAGGGCTGGGGAAATTGTAAGAAATTGTCTTGGTCAGACCAGTAGATGAGACAGCCATAAAGGGGCTTTTGACTTGAAGTGCTTAGAGTCCCAGAAGCCATGAAGGTTTTTTCTTTTTCCTGGTTTTTTTTTTTTGAGACCAAGTCTCACTCTGTTGCCCAGGCTGGAGTGCAGTGGCACCATCTCAGCTCGCTGCAACCTCCGCCTCCCAGGTTCAAGCAATTCTCATGAGCCACCATGCCTGGCCCTATTTTTTCTTTTAATAGAGATGGGTTCTCACTATGTTGCCCAGGCTGGTCTTGAACTCTTGGGCTCAAGCAATCCTCCCACCTCAGTTCAAGCCATCCTCCCACCTCAGTTTCCCAAAGTGGCCATAGAGGTTTGATGAGAATATCACTTCAGCAATCCGAATGCAGGATAGATTAGAGCCGCAAGGATGTCCCTAGAGCATTTGCTAGAGTGCTTGGACCAGGAAATTCACTTAGTTTTTCTCACAAAGGTGTCTGTCATCCATAGCTGATTTCTGAAATGAATCCACAAGCCAGAAACATTTGCCTAAATACTTTAATTAAAATGCATTGTAATAGGAAAGGCAGAGTGTAAATAAAGTGCTCATGTTTACTAAGAAAGCAGATTAAAATATTCCAGGTAGCTGAACACACTTTGATAATGAAATTCAAAACAGCTGCTTTGTTTTCATAGTATTTAAAATATTTATGTAGTTAAAAAAAACCTGGCTATTCATTTTCTATTTAAATGCAGGAAATGTTGAGACATTTTAAATGAGTAGAGATTGAACATACATAAATAAGGGTCCCATTTCAGCTACAGAATTATAATGCTTCTGAGCTGTTTCATTCATACCTCAGGAAACAACCAGTCCAATTCAATTTGGGGAAGAATCCCAGCCTCAAATTCAATTTATTTAATATCTAAGTTTTGTGAAAGTGCTGAGTTTAAGGAGCTATCTCAGTGAAATTAAAACACTGCTAATCTCATTTCAAAATCAATTTTCTTTCCAGGACAATTCTTGGAAACCTCAAGAATCTCTTGCTTTATATAATAAGGAGTATAGATTCAAGAACTGATACCTAAAAGCATAAGTACATTGGTATAAAACATATTTCTTATAAAATAGGATCTCACAGGGAAGGCGCTGTTGAAGCATTTTGCCATTTACTGAAAAGCAATGTGTTTATTAGCATATCTGAAATATTGCTAATGGTGGAAGCATTCTCTATACTTTGCTCTTAGAATATGCGGTACAAGGGCCAGGTGCAGTGGCTCACACCTGTAATCCCAGCACTTTGGGAGGCCAAGGTGTGCAGAGCACGAGGTCAAGAGATCAAGACCAGCCTGGCCAACATGGTGAAACCCTGTCTGTACTAAAATATGAAAATTCGCTGAGTGTGGTGGTACAGGCCTGTAGTCCCAGCTACTCGGGAGGCTGAGGCAGGAGAATCGCTTGAATCTGAGAGGTGGAGGTTGCAGTGAGCAGAGATTGAGCCACTGCATTCCAGCCTGGTGACAGAGTGAGACCTCATCTCAAAAAAAGAAAGAAAAATAAAAAGAATATGTGATACAAACATACAAATGTAAATGGAATTGAAGGAAAAATAACTGCCTAAACTCTCAGACTTCACCCATGTAAAAAATGTTTACCAGTGAAATTATGTCTGCACAAGCTTGTTTTATGGCAGCATTATTTTTAACAGCCTAAGATTGGAAACAGCGCTAATGCCCATCAATGGGAGAGTGGTTTAAATGTTATCATACATCCATACAACAAATTAGGTTGCTGCCATGAAAAAATAAGCAGGCTCTTGGAGGATAGAGAACAATCTCCAAAGTAAATTAAGTGAAAAATAACAGTGGTTCTAATATGTGTTACACTTCTGTTAAAATTAAAAAGGAAGGGAAGCAGCATTTACATATTTCCTTGTATAAGCATAAAATAGCTCTGAAATGATACGGGAGAAATTATTAACAGTGGTTGCTTCCAGAGAGGGAACCAAGAAAGTTGGGTACTGGGGTAGGATGAATTTTTATCGGATGTCCTTTTGTACCCATGTAAATATGTTATTGTCTATTAAAATACATTTTAAAAGCTTTTTTAAAAAATGGTAAAATAATAATGTCAATCACCATTATATTCAATGTGATGATTACCCAGATCACGTGACAAGCCATCACCAAGACAAATCTGCTACTCTGGGATTTGGAGATGCTTAGCGCTGGGAACTCACACATTGTTTAATTTTTCCACAGTGGAAATGAATGTTGTTTTTAGTGGATGGGTAAATACATACAGACATTTGCAAACCTTCAAAGGCCTCTAAGCAGCTCACATTTTCCTGTAATTTTACATAAAATGGGCAGAAACTATTGGAATTCCAGGTCCTTTATGTTCACTGTTGCAGGTGGAAACAAATGGCCTAATACTAGAATACTAGATTTTGTTTTCACTCACTCCCACAAGAGCCATTCGGTATGCAGACGAAATCCTCTTGATAAATATTCATTCCCTGAATGGCCCTTTTTTCTTTTTCTTTTTTTCTGAATCATAAAAGCAACATGACACGATCTGGAAAGCTTTAGGGAATGTAACTGCTGTCATCGGCTGAGATATTTCATTTTCTAGGATTAATTGAAGTTGCTGCCACCATCTCTACAGTGACGGTGTCAGAAGTGAGTAACGGACTGATCCCTGCTGGTGAATGGGGTTTCTCAGAATGACAGGCAGAGGATGCTCCTACTGGGCTGTCCCTCCTGGTGGAGGGAGAAATGGTAACAGCCCCTGGCTAGTAAATCCATTTGCATTCTATCTGTTCCGAGATAATGGCTTTGCACTGGAATTGAGCAGAGTTTGGGGAAGATAAGCACTAACTACCCTAATGGGCAGCCAGCCCCCTACTGTGATTGCCAGCAAAGGAAAACAGCGTCCAAGCTCAGGTCAGAATGGTGGCAATTCTCAGCTGAACAGCTCGGCTGCCCTCCTTTCTTTGTTTTTTGTTTGTGTATGTTGTTTTCTTTCTGCTGCTGTTTTGTAGAGATGGTGGTCTCACCATGTTGCCCAGGCTGATCTTGAACTCCTGGTCTCAAACAATCCTCTTGTCTCAGCTTCCCAAAGTGCTGGTATTGCAGATGTGAACCACTGTGCCTGGCTATCTTTTTATTTTTTGAGACAGGGTCTCACTGTGGATGGCTCACTGCAGCCAGAAACTCCTGGGCTCAGGTCATCCTCCTATCTCAAACTCTCCAGTAGCTGGGACTACAGATGCATACCACCATGCCTGGCTATTTTGTTTCGTTTTTGTTTTTGTTTGAGATGGGGTCTCGCTATGTTGCCCAGTCTGCTCTCGAACTCTTGACCTCCAGCAATCCTCCTGCTTCGGCTTCCCAAAGCACTGGGATGGCAGAGATGAGCCACCATGCCCAGCCGTGAAGTGTTTTCTATCCTTGAAATACAGAAGACAAATTCCTGAGGGGAAATCTCACAGATTCAATAACGCTTTACTTTTCCAACAAAGCTTCCCACGTATTATTGGAGTCCCATTTTATCCCCTACCCATGAATCATTTTGTTCTTAAAAAGAGAACAGTCAGGAGAAGCTAGGGCTGTCAAATGACAGTGAGCACTCAGGGACTCGAAAACTTGATGCAATTTGTTGATCTCAGGCCCAGCCCCACGAGGAGCTGAGTCCGGGCCGGCAGGCTGGCGGGGCGGTCAGAGCTGTAGCCACTGAGGCCACGACTGCAGAAAACTGTCTCTTTCTGGGCTGCGGGGGAAGCTAGGGTGTCGGGGAGCAGCGAGCGCTGGGGGCACAGCCAGGACGGTGCGCCGGGGGCCGCCTCTCCCCACCTCAGGCCACCTTCTCCTTCTCCTCCTCCGGCATCTCCACCGACAGGATCTGCTCGCCGCCGGGCTCTGGCCCCGGGCTCATGCGGATCCTCACCGAGTGCTCCTCCGGCCCGGCCGCCCGCTCCTCTTCTCCCTCGGGCCGCCCAGGGGAGGCAGGTGGTGGAGACCCCGGGGGCTCCAGGGGCGTCCGGGGCGCGGACGGGTCTGGGATGGCTGAGCCTTCCTCTCCCTTGGCGTCTTGCGAGCTCTTGGCCTGGAATCCACAAAGGGCGACTCGTGAGGCACAGACTCTCAGAGGGCCTTGGACACCCCCCTGTTCCAGCCTTTTTGGACTCCCAAAGAGGGCAGTGGAACACACAGCGGGTGAAATCTAGTGGGTGGGTGGAGTCACATCGGGGTTATTTAGGAGAAACACAATACATTACGGGGAAGTGTGCGGATTCGAAGTCCCGGCTGGATTTCGTGGGAAGTCTTGGGATGCCCTAATCTAGGCCGTGGGGCTGGAAGCTGAGATGAGGTGGTTGTTTCAAGTGCAGGGCCCCTCCCCCTATCACTGAAGCAAGCCAGGCAGTGACTCTGAGGGAGTACCCGCAAGGCCTCTGCAAAGGCTGAACCAGGTGTTACCAGAGATGGGCATTCCTGGAGTGGATGAGAATAACTCCAAGCAAACAGGGTAAAAGGTGATGAGGGGAGAGGCTGCTGGGGCTGGGCCCCCTTTCTGGAAGGTCTCAAAGGTTGAGATCCTCAGGGATAGCCTGGGGCTGAATGCCCCTGGTATTGGGCTGAGCTGACCCCGTGTGTGGGGACTCGATGGGTACCTTTAGCCTCCAGCCTGTGCTGCCTCCCACAGACAATGACCACGGTCTTCACATCCGTAGGGAACAGGGTAAATAAACCAAACCTTTGTGGGTACCTGTGGCCCCTCCCACTCTGCCTGACCCCATCTCTGCACAGAAGGAAACTAGAAAGGAAGCAGTCCCCAGAGGACGCCAGAATGGTCCTTGGCTGCCCAAGACCCTTCTGAAGTGGTGCTTGTGAGTTTCAAGTGAGAGCAGTCAATGTGCTTGTGTGGAAAGACTGTGCCATTTGCTCAAGTTGTAGGATGCTAAAGGAAAGGAATGGAGAGGGGGAGCCAAAATGCCCGGAGAACCCAAGGCCCCTCTTGGGACATGCTGCCCCTCTGTCTCACTGTTTCCATATGTTTTGGTGCCCCTGTCCCACCTCCCCTGTCCACCCTGAATTCTCTTTTTTACTTTTTCCTGAGATGGAGTCTCACTCTGCCACCCAGGCCAGAGTGCAGTGGTGCAATCTTGGCTCACTGCAACCTCTGCCTCCAGGTTCAAGCAGTTCTCCTGCCTCAGCCTCCCAAGTAGCTGGGACTACAGGCTCATGCCACCACATTTGGCTAATTTTTTGCATTTTTAGTTGAGATGGGGTTTTACCATCTTGACCAGGCTGGTCTTGAACTCCTGACCTCAAGTGATCCACCTACCTCAGCCTCCCAAAATTCTGGGATTACAAGTGTCAACCACCTATGCCTGGCCCATCCTAAACTCTTGACAACACATTTCCAGAGCAGGATGCTCAGACACTGGGCATGTGGAACTTCCTGGGAAGTCAGACAGTGAGCATCATGGGAAGTCAGAAAAGTGCTTTGCTGTGTTCAACGTGCTTTTCTAAAAGGCCTCCAAGTTATCCTGCGTGATCTTTATGATCTCATGAGGCAACCCTCAGTAATCCAAGTCTCAGAAAGCTTGAGGGGCTACCTGGGTCATGGAGCTAGTGGGTGCCAGAGCTGGGATTCAGACCTGTGTATCCGAATATCTAGTTAAGAGCTCCCTGCACTCTGCTATTCTGCCCTGGTTGTTCTGAACTGGAGGGGAAGTGCCTTTTAGTGGAACATGCATGCAAATTTAATTCCCATCTTAAAGCTGCCTTGCTGAAGAGTTACCACTTAGGAGCCACAAGCCCACCCCAGCTGAAGCTCTCAGTGTACTGAGGGCACCCTTGGAGCTCCTGTCTCCTCAGCCCTTACAGTAGCCAGCACTGTAGACCCCCAATTGCCAGCTCCACCTTGACCTCGACAATGTGTGAGCCAGGCAATCACACCTTTCCTCAGTCTGGGGCCATTGGTGGCTGTACCTGGAGAATGTCTTGGCACCCTAAGTGGCTTTGATGTCATTCACCAGACTTCTACTGTGGAACCTCTGGATGGGTCTCCCGGTCTCTGACACCAGGCTGGATTGAGACTGAGTTCACTCGGCTCCTTTGAACTCTGTTGTGTAGACTGTTAACCCCAGTCTGCCTAACCCCAGTCCCTCCCAGTTCCCGAGCAGCCTTCCTGAAGGACAGCGGTGAACAGACATAATTAATGTCATCATTCTACTTGGCAATCTTGGCTTTAGTCACAGAAAAAAGTCCCAGAACTAATTTAATGTTCCCCATAGATTTATGGGGTGGAGATATTTGGCACTGTGCCTGTGTGAGAGGATTTTACTTTTCATTTTTTGAGACAGGGTCTCACTCTGTCACCCAGACCGAAGCGTAATGGTACAGTTGTAGCTTACTGCAGGCTTGACTTCCTGGGCTCAAGTGATGCTCCCAACTCAGCCTCCTAGGACCACAGGCATGTGCCACTAAACCTGGCTAATGAATTTTTTTTTTTTTTTTTTTTTAAGAGAGACAAGGTCTTGCTATATTGCCCAGGCTGGTCTTGAACTCCTGGCCTGAAGAGATCCTCCTGCCTTGGGCTCCCAAAGTGCTGAGATTATAAGTGTGAGCTACCATGCATGACCCAAATATATATGTATATTATATACATATATATTTAGAAGGAGTCTCACTCTATCACCCAGGCTGGAGTGCAATGGCATGATCTTGGCTCACTGCAACCTTCGCCTACCAGGTTCAAGTGATTCTCCTGCCTCAGCCTCCCAAGTAGCTGGGAATTACAGGCATCTGCCACCACACCCAGCTAATTTTTTTTTTTTTTTTTTTTTTTTTACAGACGGGGTTTCACCATGTTGGCCAGTCTGATCTTGAACTCCTGACCTCGTGATCCACCTGCTTCGGCCTCCCAAAGTGCTGGGATTACAGGTGTGAGCCACCGTGCCTGGTCTTAATTTTTTTGTATTTTTGGTAGAGACAGGGTTTTACCATGTTGGCCAGGCTGGTCTCAAACTCCTGACCTCAGGTGATCCACCTGCTTCAGCCTCTCAAGGTGCTGGGATTACAGACGTGAGCCACCTCCAAATATCTTAAATAGTCACAGACACACAGTATTAAATGTGTTCTCTTTGGAGAACCACAGTGCCCTGACCATACTGAATGGCTCAAGAATTTGCATGTGACCTAATTCTGTCCAATGACAGTGAGTCCTGGGACTTTTGCTGGAATGCCTGGGAAAGAGGTGCTTTCTTTCTCTTGGAGTTGCTATGCCAGGAGGATGTCATCCTGGAACCCTTGAGAACCTGCCCGGAGATAAAACCATCACTGAACGAAGCAGCGATGATAGAATGGGAAAACTCGTCCTGCCGGCATTCTTCGGGCTTTCGGATCCAGGCTTGCCTGAACTTTTTGATTACCTGACCCCCTAATTCCCCTTTTTCTCAAGCTAATTTGAGCTTGCACTCTGTCACTTGTAACCAAATGAGTCCTGACTGATAGAAAAAAGAGGGAGAAGACTGAGCATAGTGGCTCATGCTTGTAATCCCAGCACTTTGGGAGGCCAGGCGGGCAGATCACGAGGTCAGAAGTTCAAGACCAGCATGTCCAATATGGTGAAATCCTGCTTCTACTAAAAAATACAAAAATTAGCCAGGTGTGGTGGCACGCACCTGTAGTCCCAGGTACTCGGGAGGCTGAGGTAGGAGAATCGCTTGAACCCCTGGAAGGCAGAGGTTGCAGTGAGCCAAGATTGTGGCACTGCACTCCAGCCTGGGCAACAGAGTGAGATTCCATCTCAAAAAAAAAAAAGGAGGGGGAAGACCCTAAAACTAAATGTGTGGCCCACTCTCGGAGACCCCTGGCACGTGCCTGAAATGGACATGGTGGCTGGTTCGCAACTCCTGCTGTGACCTGTTCCAGCAACTCCTGCTGCTTTGCAGCCGCCTCCAGCGCAGCCAGTTCTTTGAGCCGGGCCCGGAGGTGGGCAAGTTTGCCGCCTTTTGCCCCCTTGCCACCCATCTTTCCTGTCACAGCAAGAGCAGCGCTGAAGAGCTTCGGGGTGCCCGCCGGGGGTGGAAGGATCAGCACGCTCTTCTCCTTGGGCCTGTTGTTGTTTTTCAGCATGCGCCTGGAAGAAAGCAGCATCCACTTACCTCACAGACACGCTCAGAGGGAAAAGAAAGGCTTGCTGTGTAGCCCCCTTTAAATTGGAGCTGTGTAGTGGTGGTGATTTTGGCTGATGATTGTAGAGAGCATTTTCTGGGCCAAGCATCATGTTAAGAGCATTATGCACTGCATCTCACTGAAGGATCAGAACAACTGTAATGAGGTGTGTCTTACTGTCTGTTGTACCTTAGAGATGAGGAAACTGACGCTCAGAGAGGTTGAGTAACTTGTCTGAGGTCACACAGCTAGGAAATTCTTCTCTCTCTTTTCTCTCTCTCTCTGTCTCTCTTTCTTTCAACAGTGTCTCACTCTGTCACCCAGGCTGGAGTGCAGTGGCGTGATCATGGCTTACTGCAGCTTTGACTTCCAGAGCTCAAGCAATCCTCCCACTCAGCTAGCTGGGACTACAGGTGTGCACTACCACAACCGCAATTTTTTATCTCTTTGTGGAGACAGGATCTCGCCATGTTGCCCAGGCTGGTCTCAAACTCCTGGGCTCAAGCAGTCTGCCCACCTTGGCCTCCCAGAGTGTTGAAGTTACAGATGTAAGCCACCACACCTGACCTCTTTCTTTTTTCTTAACCAGCTGTTTACCCTACTGTTTGGAAATCCTGAAGGACACTTTCACATAAGGAATTGGGAGTAAGATGCCCAGGTGGAAGAGGAACCAGAGCTCTTTCCTCCTTCTGCTTCACCATCACCTCCCCGTTGTCACCATCACAATTATCAGCATTCATTGAGTGTCTATATGTGCCAGGCCCTCTGCTCCATCCTTTACAGGCACCCCTCAATGGCCCCTATTATCCCTCTTCCTGGTGTTCACGCCTCTGTATGGTCCCCTTCCCTTAAGGAAGAGTGGGACACGCGTCTTGCTTTTAGCCAATAGAATACAACAAGTGAATTCCACTAGTGGAATATGTCACACATGACTGTGATCTCTGTCTTGCAAGGGGACTCTCCTTTGCTGACTTTATTTATTTTTTATTTGATTTTTATTTTAAGTAATAGAGATGGGGTCTCCCTATGCTTTTTAGGCTGCTCTTGAACTCCTGGGCTCAAGCGATCCCTCTGCCATGGCCTCCCAGAGTGCTGGGATTACAGGCACGAACCACAGTGCCTGACCTCCCTTGATGACTTTGGTGTAGGGAGCAGCCAGCTGTGTTGGAGAAGGCCCACATGGCAAGGAGTGGAGGCCAGCCACTGGCCAACCGCTGGTGGGAACTGGGGCCCCAGTCCTACAACCCCAAGGAACTGAATTTCACCAACAAGTGGGTCCTTCCCCCATCCACACTTGAGATGACAGCCTGCTCTGGCCAACACCTTGATGACAGTCTGGCAGAGGACCTAGCTAAGCCATGTCCAGACTTCTGACCCACAGAAACTGAGATCGCAAATGTATGTGATTTTAAACTGCTAAATTTGTGGTAATACCCTTAGGCTAATACATGCTCGCTCATTTAAGTCTCACAACAATCCTCACTTCCAAGTGAGGGTGTAGAAGTTCAGAGTGGGTGAGTAACTTTCCCAAGGCCACACAGCTAAGAAGAGGCAGAGCTAGAGTACAAATGCACACCTCTGACCCCAGTGCCCCAGATATTAATGATTACAAAGCAACATCACATCATTATCTTCCTGGACACTGACAACACCCCTGTGATACGGAAAGGGCTGAGATTGTTGTGACTCTGACAGTTCGGGAAATTGAGACTCAGAGCCGGGGAGTGACATTCCCAAGGTTACCAGCAAGTTGCAGAAGCAGAATTGCCACTCACATCTAATGGGGCTTATACTGCTCTATTTCTCTAGATAAGGGAAGATTTTCCATGAAGAGAGCCCTGGCTTTTTACCAGGAATTTTTCAAACAACAAACATGTGGTGAGGGGTTTGTCTCAAGAACAAACGAATTCTGCCTGCAACCAGCGGGCCTAGGCAATGAATTGGCAAATTGATTCATCGGGGTTCCAGCAAAACTTGTTTGTTTAAAAATGAGGCCATTACGGGATGCTTATCTAATCAGAGGCAATGGGTTTAAATTGTGCATATTGATATTAATTGCCCAAGATTTGCATTTTTAGCTGGAGATCCACCAGGAGAACACAAACATGATAATTCACCAGACGCCTCTGACACACCAGCTCGGCACTGTCCCCTGTGTTTTTTGAGTCAGTAATTCACAAAGTGACAGCCCACAGGAAGGCTGGGGTGCTGTGAAAATAAACTATCTTTTTCTTTCTAACAAAAGAACTATTTATAGGACCTTTGCTGATTGCTAATGGCTGTGTGTTTAGAAACATTGAGCTGGCTTCTAGAGGCACTTCCAGATTAGGGAAATTTGTCCTCATTTTCTGATGATGTATGCTTCCCTATAACTGAGATTGAGCCATCAGCCTGGAGAAAGTGACCTGCATAAGACCTCTTTATCCTCTTTCTTGGGAGTGGTCAAGCTAGAGATCTGAGTACTTCTCTTCTTTGGGGACTCAGGTCCCCCATTTGCAAAGCAGGGAGCTTGGGCAGAATCTCACACGTGGCCCTCACCAGCTCAGATGCCCCCCGGGACTGTGGTTCTCAGAGAGTGTATCTCCCCTGACGAGCAGAGCTCATTCCTGATCCTTTGCCTCTCTGGGCAAGCTGGCCTGTCCAGCAAACAACCACTCTGATGACTCATGGCCGGGCCCCCATCCCATGCCCTCCATGTTGCCGTGAGACCTGTCAGCCCCACTCCTCTGACTGCCTCCCACCCACACCTCAGCCTTCTCAGTGTGGACACGGGTACACAGGCACGGTTAGGAATGGGGGCCTCTGTGTGGCTCTTGGGAGAGCCTTTGGGGTCCCATCTGATTTGCCAAACTCTTACCTAACCCACCCAGTGGGGTGAGATAATAGGTAAAAGCATGGTTTTCCTGAGCTTTGCTCCTCCTGGTGGGGATGGGGGCAAGAAGAGAGGGTGGGGAGACCTGGTACCAGTTTTCAGACATAAGCAGTTGACTCTCATGATGTGCAGTCATTATAAGATCTCTGCAAACACTGAATTAACAAATACAGAAACATTGTTCCTGGGGGAAATACAGGGTGAGATGCCTACAAGTCTTTCATCACCACATTCATTAATCACAATACATAAACTTGGCCAGGCGTGGTGGTTCACACACAGTCCCAGAACACTGGGAGGCCAAGGAGGCAGATCTCTTGAGCCCAGGAGTTCGAGGCTGCAGTGAGCTATGATCCTGTCACTGCACTCCAGCCTGGGTAAAACAGCACAACTCTGTCTTTAAAAATAATAATAATAAACTTGTCTTATGTGTGTTTCTGTTTAAAGACATATTATTATTATTTTGAGACAGAGTCTCACTCTGTCACCCAGGTTGGAGTACAGTGGCGTGATCTCCGCTCACTGCAACCTCCACCTCCCAGGTTAATGCGATTCTCCTGCCTCAGCCTCCCAAGTAGCTAACATTACAGGTGCCCACCATCATGCTAATTTTTGTAGTTTTAATAGAGACAGGATTTCACCATGTTGACTGGGCTGGTCTCGAACCTCAGGTGATTCTCCCACCTCAGCCTCCCAAAGTAATGGGATTACAGACATGAACTACTGTGCCAGCTAAAGACATCTTATTCAATATAGATTGTTGTTTCATTAACATTGAGCACACAGCCGACAGCACTATAATTCATGCCCGAATGAAAGTTATCTAACACACATATTTTCTGTGTAAGGCACATGGCAGAATTCTTGTGCTTAGGAACACAAGACAGCACTTCAGCGCTGTGCTTGGGGGCCATATTAAACAGTGAAATCACCAACAAAAAAGCACAAAAATGTAAAAAATGTGGCATTAAATGGACCATAAAAAGACACCTCTTTGCAGTACAAGAGCTGAAACCAGAAGGCAGAGCTGGTACTTCAGCGGGGAGTGCGTGCTTGGCGTGACTCAAGTATTCCGCTGCTCCGGGCATGTTCTTGAATGACCACGAAAGCTTGTTGGTATTATTTTGGCATTATGAGTCCATTTCAGGGAGGAGGCAAATTTGCAAACATGGAGTCCAGGAATCACGAGGATCCACTATACCTCCCTGTTCCTTTGGAGAGGAGGGGCTGGCCGGCACCACTGCTGTGACGGGGAATGTGGGCGGATTTTGTGGGAGAAGTTCAGATAGACTGGGTTTTGGTCTCAATCTCTTGACCTTGTGATTCACCTGCCTCAGCCTCCCAAAGCACTGGGATTACAGACGTGAGCCACCTTGCCCAGCCTAGACTGGGTTTTGAAAGGGCCCAGTGGATTCCTGGAGAGCAACTAGGTAAAGTAAGTTTTGGGGCAGCTTCCTTCCCCGGGGGAGCTCAGTGTCTTGTGTGTGTGGCACTGGGACGTCAACACTACATCCTTTCACCTTGAAGCTGCCACAGGGTTCCTATGAAAACCTCAGGCTCTTCAAGCCACTCCTCTGTGTAAAACTCTCCATGGCTCTCATCTCCCACTGAGATCTGGCCCAGTCTCTTCCCCTAGCCTCCTCTGATCCCATACCAAGCTATGCTGATTTGCTGTTGTGCCACCCACACACTAAGCCTGCTCCTCTTCAGGGCCTCTGCACATGCTGTTCCCTCTGCCCAGAATGCTGTTCCTAGCCACCAGTCCCCCATCCCACTCCTTCACTCTGTGCAGGTCTCCTTGAAATGCCACCTGCTCGGAGGAGCTTCCCCAACCAGCTCATCTCAGGCAACTTTCCATGACTCCCTGCCCCTCTGGTGGCTTTGCGCTTCCTCAGAGCCCTCGTTGGACACAGCACATCATCGCTCATCTTTCCATTGCGGCTTCCCTGACTACAATGTGAGTTTTGTTTGGTGCCTGCTGTGTCCCCAGCACCCAGCACTGTGCATCAATACATCACTGTGCTGTAGGAATGGATGCTGGTGAGTTTCTTCCCTTTATTTTGACCACTCTCTGTGCAGTTTATTTATGGTGTCATTGTATAGAATGAAGGGGAAAATAAGAATATGGGATACAAGACAAGGAGGAATACCTAGATATGAGGATTAAAAAGGCTTTAGCCAATTGAAAAATTTTAGGGTGAATTTGATGGATACAGAGGAACAATTACTTATTAGGGTGAATTTGATGGAATACAGAGGAACAATTATGTATTTATTTTAGAGACAGAGTCTTGGTTTGTCACCCCAGCTGGAGTGCAGTGACACAATCATAATTCAATGTAACTTTAAACTTCTAGGCTGAAGCAATCCTCCTGCCTCAGCCTCCTAAAGTGCTGGGAACTGCACTCAGCCTGAAGTGATCCGTATTAACGTGCACTGAGCTCTCTCGTATGCCAGGCACCCACCCGGAGACACTTCTGCACACTTTAATTTTTGCAGCCGCAGACCAGACACGGTGGCTCGCGCCTATAATCCCAGCACTTTGGGAGACCAAGATGGGCGGATCACCTGAGGTCAGGATATAAAATATAAAAATTAGTCAGATGTGGGGGCACATGACTATAGTCCCAGCTTCTGGGGAAGTTGAGGCAGGAGACTCACTTGAATCCAGGAGATGGAGGTTGCAGTGAGCCAGGATCATGCTACTGCACTCCAGCCTGGGTAACAGAGCAAGACTCCATCTCAAAACAAAACAAAACAAAAAAACAGTTTTCACAACAGCAAAGTAGGGGTTATGACCTTTATTTTACATAGGAAGCAATGGAGACCAGAAAAGTTAAACGACTTCCCCAAGTCACACAGCCAGCAGCTCACGTGAAAGGGATCTGAGCCCTGCCAGCCTCCCAGACCTACCGCGCGGTTTCCACCACACACTGCCTCTGTTGCACAGTTGGAAACCTGATATTAAGGGGTTGAAAACAAAAACTGGCTTTTCTAAAAAGAATGACCTGTTCCCCAAGAATGCAAAATACAGATACGCAAGTTTTTCATTGCACCACTGTTTGTAATTACAAAATTTTGGAAATACCCTAAATGTTCACTTACAGGAATGTTCCGTGGAAAGGAATGAGGAAGCTGACTCTGCACTGATAGACAGTGATTCCGGGTTTTGTCGTCATGTGGAAACAAAGCTAAGTACAACCAGAATCTACAGCGCGCCACATCAGAAAATGTTTGGGCTGGGCATAGTGGCTCATGCCTATAATCCCAGCAGTTTGGGAGGCAGAGGCGGGCTGATCACTTGAGGTCAGGGGTTTAAGACAAGCCTGGCTAACATGGCAAAACCCACCCCTACTAAAAATACAAAAATTTAGCCAGGCACAGTAGCGGGTACCTGTAATCCCAGCTACTGGGGAGGCTGAGGCAGGAGAATCACTTGAACCCAGGAGGTAGAGGTTGCAGTGAGCTGAGATCACACCACTGCACTCTAGCCCAGGCTACAGAGAGAGACTCCATCACAGGGGGAAAGAAAAGAAAAGAAAATGTTTGTAGATCTGTCTATTTTTGCAAAAGTAAGCAGAGGAAAGCAAAAGCAGAAATTGGTGAGATGCATATGTAATAATGGGGGTTGCAGCGAGCGGGCAGTGGGGACCGGGAGAGTTGGGACACTTTCCTGACTGCCCCATTTTGCAGAGTGTTGACCTTCAGGAACATGTGAATGTTCTACACACTTAAGAAAAAACATTAACAAAGGTCAGGGTGTCAGGAGCCCTAAAATGGAAGGCAAACCGAAACCAGTGAACCGACCTGTATTTCAAATGAATAAAGGAACCACGTTAAAGGGTGGGGGAGGAAGAGAAGGACGCCAGGTAACTTTGAACACAGCACTTACGTCATATATACTTGGGCTAACGACAAAAGCACTGCATCCAGGACGGAATTTTACCCAGAAGACGCACTTTCTGTTTTCACAGTGACATGGGCTAGGAATTCTGAAGCGAACTTCTCTGTATTTCTCAGTGTTGGAGAAGAGATTTGCAAGTAGGAAAAGGGAGACTATTAGAATGAATTCTGTAGTGGCAGGGCGCTGTGGCTCATGCCTGTAATCCCAGCAACTTTGGGAGGCCAAGGCAGGTGGATCCCCTGAGGTCAGGAGTTTGAGACCAGTCTGGCCAACATGATAAAGCCCTATCTCTACTGAAAATACAAAAATTAGCCAGGTGTGGTGGAGGGAACCTGTGATCCCAGCGGAGGTTGCAGTGAGTGAGCTGAGATGGCAACACTGTACTCCAGCCTGGGCTACCAGAGCAAAACTCCATCTCAAAAAAAAAAAAGAATGAATTCTGTGGTCTTGATTAAAATTGTTTTATAGAAAGATTTATCAATAGGCCTAGACAGAAAAGTGGATGTTGGCATATATCTGTATATGTGTGCATGTATTTTATCTATATATATTTGTATATATCCATCCTGGTGTGCATGTGGTGTGTTTCTTGGTTCTGTCTGCTGCAGGGACCTAATAGCACTCCAGCAGCCATGAGTGTTCCTAGGACTCAGATCTTGGTTTCTAAAAACCATCCCCCAGTAAAAGGAAGCAAGGTTCCTTGGAGAAATGGCCATTTCCAGGGATGCCACAAGGGAAGTACGAGATGTGCCAGGGCATCTGGCTGTGGCTTACTGTTCACTGAGTAGGCAAGAAAGTGCTAAAATATGACAGGGATGTCACAAAGGGTCACACAAGAGCCACCTTGAAAAAGTGCCCACTGGCCAAACTGGACCCATTTGAGCATCAAAATAATGACTGTTAACAGAGTATTCATGGAATCAAGTTAAATCCATACTTACATGCATTGAGAAATGAATAAACAAATGGGAGAGAAAGGAAAGACCTCCATGACTGCCAGCTAATAATGCAGGAGGGAGTGGAGTTACAAAATTACCATTTTACAACTATCATAGCAATCTCTTTGTAACTATCATAGAGAGGAACCATCAATGGATGCTAAAAGTAGTTGAGTGAAAGTTCCATGGGGAACAGGATATCCTCATAGTCTGAAAGTGACTCCCCACTAATTATGTAGGAATTACAAAGATAAAAACAGGAGGTTTACAGTACAGAAACCTTAGCCAGGTAATCAGAATAAAAATCATCAGTCTTGGGAGTAGCCAGCATCACGTGCCTCCCGATACACTGGCTGCAGAAGCAACATCACTTCTGAGTTCTTCCTGCCAAAAATGCAGACTCTAATGGTAATCATGAGAAAATATCAGACAAACCCCATCTGAGGGGCAGTCTATACAACATACAGGGCCTGTATGTTCGAAAGAAGTCAAAGTCACTAAAGATTGAAAGACCCTCCCAGCACTTTGGAAGTCCGAGATGGGTGGATCACCTGAGGTCAGGAGTTCAAGACAAGCCTGACTAACATGGTGAAACCCCATCTCCGCTAAAAATACAAAAATAAGCTGGGCATGGTGGCACGAGTCTGTAATCTCAACTACTCTGGAGGCTGAGGCAGGGGAATCGTTTGAACTTGGGAGGCGGAGGCTGTAGTGAGCCGAGATTGTGCCATTGCACTCCAGCCTGGGTGATAGAGCGAAACTCCATCTCAAAAAAAAGAAAGAAAAGAAAGAAAAGAAAAAGCCTGAGGAACTATCCCAGATCAAGGGAGACTAAGACTACGTTGTACTTTAATACAGTGTGTGTGGCCGGGCGCGGTGGCTTACTCCTATAATCCCAGCACGTTGGGAGGCCGAGGCGGGTGGATCACGAGGTCAAGAGATCGAGACCATCCTGGTCAACATGGTGAAACCCCGTCTCTACTAAAAATACAAAAAATAAGTTGGGCATGGTGGTGCGTGTCTGTAGTCACAGCTACTCGGGAGGCTGAGACAGGAGAATTGCTTGAACCCAGGAGGCGGAGGTTGCAATGAGCCGAGATTGCGCCATTACACTCCAGCTTGGGTAACAAGAGCGAAACTTCATCTCAAAAAAAAAAAAAAAAATACAGTGTGTGATCCTAGACTTGATTCAGGAATGGAAAAGAAGAAAAGGTACAAAGGACGCTCTTGAAGAGTTAGTAAACTCTGAAGATGCATTATGGATGAGATAATAGTATTGTTTCAATATGAAATTTCCTGATTTTGATGAAGGTACTAGACCAGGTGCAGTGGCTCACGCCTGTAATCCCAGCACTTTGGGAGGTCAGAGCAGATCACATGAGCCCATGAGTTTGATACCAGCCAGGACAACACAGTGAGACTTCAGCTCTAGAAAAAATTTGAAAAATTAGCCAGGCATCTTGGTACATGCCTATAGTCCCAGCTACATGTGAGGCTGAGGCAGGAGGATGGCTTGTGCTTAGGAGGTTGAGGCTGCATTGACTCATGGTCACTCCACTGCACTCCAGCCTGGGCGATAGAGCAAGACATCTCAAAAAAAAAAAAAAAAAAAAAAAGGCCAGGTGTGGTGGCTCACATCTCTAATCTCAACACTTTGGGAGGCCAAGATGGGTGGATCATGAGGTCAGGAGTTCAAGACCAGCCTGGCAAGATGGTGAAATCCTGTCTCTACTAAAAATATTAAAACTAGCCAGGCATGGTGGCAGGAGACTGTAATCACAGCTACTTGGGAGGCTGAGGCAGAAGATTCGCTTGAACCAGGGTGGCAGAGGTTGCAGTTAGCCAAGATTGAGCCACTGTACTTCAGCCTGGGCAACAGAATGAGATTGTCTCAAAAAAAAAAAAAAAAGGTAAAGGTACTATGGTTATGTAAATTCCTTGTCCTTAGCAATTTTGTATTAAATGAAAGAAAAGTTACATACTTGGCTTTCTTCCGCAGTAACTTCTGAGACTCAGGATAATGCACCAAAATCTCATTCAGGTCCTTCTTATCCAGGATGAAGAGGTTGGCAAACCCATGGGCCACCACGTTGGCCGTGCGCCTGTTCCCGCCCCCAACAGCCAGCAGGCTGGGGCAGAGAAGGGAGGAAGGACACCCTTCAGAGACTGCAGCTTTGGTCACATTCAGATCTTCATTTCCCGTGTGTGGTGCACCATGGTTGCCCCACACAGATGAAAGCCTGCCCCGCCCCCATCCCCATGTACATCAGCAGGTGCCTGGGCTGCATCTGCCACACCTTAGACACTCCCACTGCCCGCTGGCCACCTCCTTTCCCAGCCCTTGCCCCAGGCCCCTCACTTTCCCCCAGCTGCCTCTGACCTTATTTCTCCAAACACAGATCCAGCTTTCAGCGTCACCAGCACAGATTTCCCATCAGGGCCGCCCAAGACATGCACTTGCCCTGCCTGGATGATGTACATCTCGCGGCCGATCTCCCCCTGAAACAGAGAAGGGACAAGTCCCTCTGTTCATCCCCCAAAGTCACCAGAGCTAGGCCAGGGCTGGGTCCAGAGACTGGAGGTCGGGCAAGGAGGAACCTAGGTCCTGGGGTCCAGCCCTGCCACCACAACCTGGGGTGCTGTGAGGGGCCAGTCACTTCCCTCTAGGGCCTCAGTCTCCTCATCTGCAGACTTGGAGGCGTGGCTACCCCATGCCCTGCCTGACTGGCAGGGTTGCAGTGATGTCATGGAATGGGAAGTGTCAGCTAACCTGGGAGGTGCAGACATAATGAAATTCTGCAAATTTCTAGTTAGACTCCCTGATGGAGGCAGGGCAAATCAGGTAGCAGTTCCTACCAGCAAATGATGCCTCCGCCTGGCACATCTCAGGGGCTCCGGAAGCATTTGCTAATTGTAACAGGAATGGCAACAACAGTAACGACAGCATTCAAATTGCTTTTTTTTTGAAATGGAGTCTTGCTCTGTGGCCCAAGCCAGAGTGCAGTGGCACGATCTCAGCTCACTGAGACATTTACCTCCCGGCGTCAAGCAATTCTTGTGCTTCAGTTCCGGAGTAGCTGGGATTACAGGCATGTGCCATCACACCTGGCTAATTTTTGTATTTTTAGTAGAGACAGGTTTTCACCATGTTGGCCAGGCTGGTCTCGAACTCCTGGTCTCAAGTGGTCTGCCTGCCTTGGACTCCCTAAGTGCTGGGATTACCAGCATAAGCCACCACGCCCAGCCCCAAATTGCTTTCTGCGGTATACTACTCATCCTCAACAACCCTCAGAGTTGAAATCACTCTCTGCCCAGGGTCACCAAGTTAGAACGAGGCAGAGCTGGGATCTGAACCCAGACAGTCTGCTACCAGAGTTCAAGGGTTGAATTATGTATCCCCTCCCAAAATCAGATGTTGAAATCCTCATCCTCAGTGTTCAGAATATGACCTTATTTGGGAATAGTGTCATCACTGATGTAATTCCTGAAGATGAGTTCCTTCTGGAGTCAGGTGTGTCCCTAACCCAATGTGACAGGTGTCCTAATAAAAAGGGAAGTGTGGACACAAAGACAGGCATAGAGACAAGGGTATGTGAGGAGACCCAGAAACAAGATGACCAGCTCCAGGCTGAGGAGAGAGGCCACCCAGCTTGTGGCAGAGTGGCGCAGAGCCGGGGCTGCCTGGCAAACGAATACAATGGCCTTAATCCCAAATTAAACTGAGTGCATGCATGAATGAATAGCTTGCTTTGGACTGCAATTAGAAACACCTAGTCTGCCACGAGCCTTCCGGTCCTCATGACTTCACAGGCCCCTGTCCTGGCCAGCTACCTATGAGTCATGTGTGTTTAAAAGGGGAGGAGGAGGTCTACAGAAATAATAATAATAATAATGAAAAAGGGAGCCGGATGCGGTGGCTCATGCCTGTAGCCCAGCACTTTGGGAGGCCGAGGCGGGTGCATCACCTGAGGTCAGGAGTTTGAGACCAGCCTGGCCAACATGGTGAAACTCTATCTCTACTAAAAATACAAAAATTAGCTGGGCATGGTGGCAGGTGCTGTTATTTCCAGCTATTTGGGAGGCTGAGGCAGGAGACTAGCTTGAACCCAGGAGGTAGATAGTGCAGTGAGCCGAGATCATGCCATTGCATACCACCCTTGGCGAGAAGGTGGGACTTCATCTCACACAAACAAACAAATAAAGGGTCAGGGGAGTGACCAAGGACAGTAACTTGGTCACACTTTTGACTTATTTGACAAAAATTTCCTGTGCATTTCACACATGCATGACCCTCTTAACAAAAAGGAAGAGAGGCTGGCCTCCCTGTTTCTGTTTAGTTTGACAAGGGTGAAAGGGTGAGGGGACCCTCACCTCACTAACCAGCCTTCGGGGTGTTTCAGAGAGATCGCGACAGAGAAAAACCAGACAGCAGAGGGCGCCCTTCACACGTGCTCACCAAGTGCTCAATTTAATTTGCAGTCACAGACACTCGATTCACCTTTTCTCATTTAAAGCAAACTGCATCACCCACGAAGATAACAGCAACAGAGCCGGCACCTGCTGTGTCCCAGGCACAGTGTTAAGCTCTGTATGCACATCTTATTCAGTCCTCATGACCACCCCGTGAGGGAGGTACTACAACATTCCCCACTTTATCCATGAGATGAGCAGGATTCAGAGAGGGCAAGACACTCGCCCAAGGCTGCATTGCCAGGAAGTGGCTCCAACGTCAGGCAAGTCACTCTATTGCTCCCAAACCCCTCTTGGCCTCTAAGGCTGCAGCTGTAAATTCCCAGTCCTCCGCAGCAACGTTTTCCCCGCTTCACCCCAGCTCTCTGCTTCCAGAAACTTCACTGCTGTACATAGCATGTAACTTGAAGACAGGGACCTTCTTGGGCACAGGGATTCCCAAGTCTTGCAGAGCCTGCTTGGGTAATGTTTTCCCCCCTGCATGCACACCCAGACTTGTTAACAGCTCTGTGGAGGTTAATAAGGTTCAGAGGACTGAAACTTGGGTTCCTGCCTCTCCCCTCCCTCACCAAGTTACCTTGGTCTCACCTTGAACCCCAAGGACAGGGAGCAGAAAGAGCTCTAGACATTGTCAGGCCCCAGGATTCAATCCCAGATGTTTTCTGGGATCAGTGGGTGAAGCTGAGCAGGGAGGGGCTCTTGGAGTGGAACAATGAGGAGTAGTGGGGGCTGTGGCATCAGGAAGGGGGGTCATGATGCCCCCCTTTGGGGCAAGATTTTCTCCACCCCAGCTGGCTCTTGCTATTTGAAAAAGTGAACTGAGTGCTGGCAGATTTTCTATTTTCAGCCAGAGATCTGAATTTTTATACGAAATCTTCATAATTTTGTTTATTTATTTATTTACTTACTGAGACAGAGTCTCGTTCTGTCAGTCAGGCTGGAGTGCAGTGGTGTGATCTCGGCTCACTGCAACCTCTGCCTCCTGGGTTCAAGTGATTCTCCTGCCTCAGCCTCCTGGGTAGCTGGTCCTACAAGCATGTGCCACCACGCCCGGATTTTTTTGTATTTTTAGTAAAGACAGGGTCTTACTGTGTTAGCCAGGATGGTCTCCATCTCCTGACCTCTATGACCTGCCCACCTCGGCCTCCCAAAGTTCTGGGATTACAGGCATGAGCCACAGTGCCCAGCTGAAATCTTCATATTTTTAAAGGTTGGGGACCAATTCAACATTTTTTTTAAATTAGGGGAAAAAAACCCATAGAATACATATGTACTGGATCTTCCCCAAAGGCCACCAGTTTGCATCCTCTGACCTAAGCCCACCCCTTCTCCTATCCCATTTTCCTGATGGGAAGTCAGAAACCCCAGAAGCAGTTCCAGCTACACAGTCAAGGCCCTGCCCCTCTTCAGCCTCCACAGTCTCCCTTTCTGTAAGGTGCGGGTAGAGGGGGTCTTTGTCCTGCCCCCCATGGTCCCATGTCAAGAGAGCCGAGAAAATGCTTTGCAAAGCCTGAGGCATATGTGCTGCCTGCACAGAGCCGGCAAAGCTTCCTAATCCACTCCGATCTTGGGTCTGGTCAGGTCTCCGCAGCACAAAGCTGCAGCCGCTCCTCTCCTGCCCCACCAATCTTGCACGCCAGCAGGCGTCCCTCCAGCTCAGTTCCCTGAAAGCCAGGGGATTATGAACCCAGGATCCCGTGGTGGCTCCCAGGCCAGCTCACCTTCTTGCACACATAGTCGTTGGGCAGGTAGACGACGGAACGAAGCCTCTTCAGCATGTCAAAGATCATCTGTCGGTCACAGCCCTGTCCCGGTGAGGAAGCGAAAGGAATGCTGTTTAGAGAAGATTGGGGGGCTTGGAACCTCCCACATCCCTGAGGGTGAGGCACCAAAGGCTGTACCTGAAAGAGTGCAACTTTGCTAACAATGTTGTAGTTTACATCGATGGCCAGGTCCAGCCGCATCTTGTCTGGAAGCTGCACCATCAGCTCTGACTCATCTGTGAACAAGGCCTGGCAAGGGTCAGAGGCAAGGCAGGGCCCCACCCCTGCCACATATAAGAGCCCACTGCCCACCTACCAGCTCATCAGGGCACACCAGTGCCTGCCACATGGAACCCCTCTAGATTTGTAGAGCACCCTCTCTCGCCTCCAGGCTTTTGCCAAGACTGTTTCCTCTGCCAGGAGCACCCCTATCCATTCCCCAAACTCCTACTCATTCTTCAGAACCCAGCACTAATGTCACCTCCTCGAGGAAGACTTCCCTTGACATCCCCCTCTCAGCTACTATGTTAGTAGCCCCTGTGCTGTTGTAGTGGTTCCCACTCCCCTGTAAGGACAACGTCGGCATTTTTTTAAGGCAACGTCCCGCTCTGTCGCCCAGGCTGGAGTGCAGTGGCACGATCTCAGTTCACTGCAGCCTCTACTTTCCCACTTCAAGCGATTCTCCTGCCTCAACCTCTTGAGTTTCTGGTGCCACAGGTGCCCACCACGCCCTGCTAATTTTTTGTATTTTTAGTAGAGATGGCATTTCACCATGTTGGCCAGGCTGGTCTCAAATGCCCGACCTCAGGTGATCCACCCACGTCAGCCTCCCAAAATACTGGGATTATAGGCATGAGCCACTGCATCTGGGCAAGCCAGACACTTTTAATAGAGTGCTTTATAAAGATTCTCTTAGTTTTTAGTTTTTATTAAAATAATTTTTAAAAATACTTTGAACCCTAAGAAGCTAAAAAAAAATTTTTTTTTCTTTTAGAAATGAAGTCTCACTACATTGCCCAGGTTGGTCTGAAGACTCCTGGGCTCAAGCAGTCCACCCACCTCAGCCTCCCAAAGTGCCGGGATTACAGGCCTAAAGCACCGCATATGGACTTATTTTTATTTTTCTGAGACAGGGTCTTACTCTGTCACCGAGGCTAGAGTGCAGCGGCACAGTTACAACTCACTGCAGCCTCGACTTCCTCAGGCTCAAGCAATCCTCCAGCCTCAGCCTCCTGAGTAGCTGGGACTACAGGCATGCACCAACACACCCAGCTAAATTTTTTGACTTTTTGTAGAGACAGGGTTTTACCATGTTGCCCAGGCTGGCGGATCACCTGAGGTCAGGAGTTTGAGACCAGCTTGGCCAACATGGTAAAACCCCGTCTCTACTAATAATATAAAAATGAGCCAGGTCTGGTGGTGTGTACCTGTGATCCCAGCTACTTGGGAGGCTAAGGCAGGAGAATCACTTGAACCTGGGAGACAAAGATTGCAGTGAGCTGAGATTGCTTCACTACACTCCAACCTGGGTGACAGAACAAGACTCCATTTCAAACAAACAAACTGTACTTTGCTCTTGGATGGGACACATTTCAAGGTGGGTGGAGTGGGGGGAGCAGGCGTACAGAAGACAAGCCCCACAAGTCTTCAGGGATCTCATGCCCCTGCTAGAGGCACCTCAGAGGCCCCGCTGTGCCCCTTTCACACCAGTGTCCAGGCCACAGCCAAGAGAGGCCCCAATGCTCAGGGCCTCAGAGACACAAAGGAGGAGGGGGACACCCTGAAGGCCGGGCACCAGGCATGGGCAACAGGGGTTGGCTGGGAGCTGGTGGCCGCCAGGGCATGACTGTCTTACCCAGCATGCCTTGCGAGTGCCAGGTGTACTCGTACCAGGTCTTGACGCGGTTCTGCACGGACTTGGGGATCTTGTAGAAGTTCATGTACTTCACCGTGCTGTCCATGCAGCTGCGGTAGTAGGTCTGGCCCGAGGTGGCGGCCCCTACTACATCTCTCATCTGCGGGGGATGGTTAGGGGAGGTCAAGGAAGCCACTGGGTCATGGGAGGGCTATTGCCTGGGTTTGGGATGTGTCACTTCACACAGACCAGGGGCATGTGCTCCCTGCAGGGAATGGGGGTAGGGAGGGGGGGAGGCAGATGTCCTCACACAGAGAACATTTTACTGACGGGAAGTTCTGCCTCCAGCGTGGATGTAGGGAGAGGGAGGGAGACTGCCAGCCCCTTGCTGGCTCAGGTCCCTGGGACCACCCTGGGGGGACAGCTCCTTGGGCTGGGCTGATTCCGGTACAACACAGCCCCTCGGTGCCAGCAGCCACTTTGTCTGACTCCATGCTGGAGGAAATAGGAAGCCAGCATGTGCTGTTCCTTGGGGCGGGGTCCTTCAAAGGTAATTTTGAGGACCTCTGACTGTCACCTTGTGTCCCTACCAGAATGTAAGATGCTGCCTCAGCACACCAGAAACCCCAGGGGTTTCTCCCAAAGGGAACAGCCCAAATCCTCAGTCTCTGCAGAAAACCATTCAGCCCAGAGCACCCAGAGGAACTGACCTCAGAGGGGAAACAGGGCCGAGCTCACCAGCACCACCACCCCACAGGGCCCAGTGCTGCAGGCTCCTGGCTCTCAGTCCACTGTTCTTTCCCACGCTTAATCCAAAAGGACCTGGCGCAGAGAATGACATATCTGGCAACAGTGGGAGGGGGCCTGCAGTCAGGTGGGGTGGAAATCCCGGCTGGTGTCCTGATACCTGTCCGATCATCACAGAGAAAGCAAAGACGCCTGTGAAATAATTCAGCCCCTGGAAGACAATTTCAAAGAGCGTCTTGGGGTCAGGCAGCCCCCCAATGGTGATGAGGGTCTTCACAGCAAAGTAGTAACAGCGAATATAACTGGAAAGAGAGGAGAAAGGGAACCTGGGTCATCACAGGCTCCACTCTGCGCCCCTGAGTGGTCTGGCTCAGACGCATCTGATAGATGCATATTGTATGAGAGAGAGAAACCCTTTACAGCGTGTCAGCGCGGAAGAACCACCTCCAGCACATGTAGAGCCCGTTGCTGTTTGCAGAGCAGGTTCACAAATGCTTTCGGGTGTGGTTGTGTCTCTAGGGAGAGGGTGTCATCCCCATTTACAGATGTGGAAACTGAGGTTCCAGAGGATTTCCAGGAAGAGTTGGCAGGAGGCCAGACTAGGGTCTTCCAACTCCTAATGATGGGGCTCCCTCAGTTTCCTTCAATGTTCCTTCAATTTCCAGTCTTTTCATTTGCTATCCCCTGCCATGTTGGCTTGTGAAAAGCAAAAACAACATCAAGTTTGGGAGATATCTTGAGGATGACCTTTTCTGACCCTCCTTCTTACCCATCCATTTTCCAGATAGTGAAACTGAGGCCCCCAAAGGGGAAGGGCACACCTGTGGTCACCAGCTGATAAGTACCAGAGCTGGGTGCTGTCTGCTTCTCTGAGATGCCATCCACTAGCAGTAACCCCTGACACAGGCTTGTGAAATTTTGGAAGGGAGGTATGGGAGTTGGGGTCCTACTGTGTGGTAAAAGGCATAGGAAATGCCCCCAAGTGCTCTAGTCTAAATGTATACCCCAAAACGGAGGTGCTGGAAACCTGATTCCCAATGTGATGGTGTTGGGAGGTAAGGCCTTTGGGTTCTGTTTAGGCCACAAGGGCTCTGCCCTCATGAATAGAAATATAAACCCTTATATAAAGCTGTTATATAAGGTTCTGAGGGAGGGTTTCCACTCCTTTCCTCCTTCTGCCTTCTGCCATGTGAGGACAGCATTCCTTCACTCCAGTGGACATTGTGGCATTCAAGACACCATCTTGGAAGCAGAGAGCAGCCCTCACCAGATGCCAGAAGCTTGATCTTGGATTTCCCAGCTTCAAGCCAGAACAGTGAAAAATAAGTTTCTGGTTTTTTTTAAGACGGAGACAGAGTTTTGTTCTCATTCCCCAGGCTGGAGTGCAATGGCGTGATCTCAGCTCACCACAACCTCTGCCTCCTGGGTTCAAGTGATTTCCTTGCCTCAGCCTCCTGAGTAGCTAGGATTACAGGCAAATGCCACCACCATGCCTGGCTAATTTTTGTATTTTTAGTAGAGACAGGGTTTCACCATGTTGGCCAAGCTGGTCTCGAACTCCTGACCTCAGGTGATCTGCCCACCTCGGCCTCCCAAAGTGCTGGGATTACAGGTGTGAGCCACCGCACTCCGCCAGTTTCTGTTCTTTCTATGTTACCCAGTCTCATGTATTTTATAATAGCAGCTCAAAAGGCACTATGACACGAAGCTTGTGTGTGATTATCACAGAGCAGCAAGGGTCCCTCTGACACCTGTCCACACCTCAGGCTGAGTCCTCCCCTGGGTCAGCAAAGGTGAGGTCAGAGGGCCTAGAGACCGGGCAGTCCCAGCGGGCTTTCCTTCACCAGCTATTTATGCAGCATCCTAGATAGAACATGGGCTCTGGATGAGGCCGCCTGAGCTCAGCCACCTTCTAGCCGTATAACTTGGACAAATGTCTCTCTCTCTCTCCAAGCCTCAGTTTCCTTCTCCATAAGATGGAGATGGCAATAGAATGTCCCTCTCAAAAGACCGTGAAGACAAAATGAGATGCCAGAAGACAGCCTGGCATATGGTGGACTCTCAGCGAGGGAAGTCACAGCCTTCACAGCTCTCCTTGTGTGCCTCCGGGAACAGAACAGACTTGCCCATATCCTCAAGAAGTTCGTGGCCCAGAGGGGACAGGCAGGTAATGTGCAATGCGTGCTGGAAGGAGGAAGCAGAGGTTGCTGGGGAGTGTGGTGGGGGCTCTGCCTCTGATAGCTGTGGGGTCTTGGGCAGCGCTGCGGGCCACCCTGCACCTCCTGATCACCTGTTGCCTGAAAAGTTTCAGAACCCAGGACCGGCCTGTCAAGCCACTGTCATACTGGTTCTGGCCATCAGAAGCCGTGTGAAGCAGCATTTAGCGGAACGGAGCAGCCCCCAACTCTGCAGACCCCTGGGCTGTCCCAGAACTGGATGCTTATGCCACTGGGCCACCAACAGAGAGAGGACATAGGCACAATGTCCACAAAGCTCTGGCTTTGCCCCAAACCCTTTCAGGTTGGAGGAATCTTCCAAAGACATGGCACATCTTAGGGCCTCCCTGAAGTCTCCTTGCCTTCTATGCTACTGGGTCTGAGGGGACCCTCTGTGCTTCAGACTGGGCAGAACCGGGGCAAGAGAGCCCTGGGGCAGGATGCAGGGTCTAGCATTTGCAGGTGCTGGGGACCTCGAGCCCCCAGCACACAGCAAGCCCTCCACAAATGCTCGCTGTGTAAAAGTTCATAATACTGGAATTTCTGAGGAATCCTCCTTCATTACTCGTACTTGGTTCACAGGTTGGGGTTCCCTGCAGGACGTCATTTGGGAAACAGTATTTCTGCCAAGGAAGTGTGCCCTTCCCTCTGCTGGGCAGCTAGAGCTCCTCCCACAGAGGGTCCTGCAGAAGGAGGTGCCAGACCGCTGTCCCCCTGCCCCACCCTGCTCTGTTTACCCTCCCTTCCCCAAGTTGCCCAGTGACGGATGTGCCAGGCTTAGCCCCAGGGAGGAGAGTTCTTAGTTTATTGGGGCACAAGCCCCTTTAAGAATCTAGAGAAAGCCAGCACTGTTTCCCTAGAAAAGCCCACATGTTCTCAAAGTTTAGCTCCAATGTCCAGCGGGGGGTTGTGACCCCTCAAATCCCTCTACCCCAACATGCTGGCTTCCCACAACAACAGCCATAGCTAGGCAGGGCGGGGTACCAACTCCTGTTCAGGCCCAGGCTAGACATGCTACACATATTTATTTATTATTTCTCATGAGAAATCTGGATGTAGGCCGGGCACTGTGGCTCATGCCTGTAATCCCAGCACTTTAGGAGGTTGAGGTGGGCAGATCATGAGGTCAGGAGATTGAGACCTGCCTGGCCAACATTACCTGAAACCCTGTCTCTACAAAAAATACAAAAATTAGCCAGGCGTGGTGGTTGGCGCCTGCAATCCCAGCTACTCCGGAGGCTGAAGCAGGAGAATCACTTGAACCTGGGAGGTGGAGGTTGCAGTGAACACCGGAGGACAATGGTTGCCATTGTACTCCAGCCTGGGCAACAGAGCAAGACTCCATCTCAAAAAAAAGAAAAGAGAAGAAAAGCAAATAAATCTGGATGTAATTTACCCCCATTGTACGTAAGGGAATACTGGGTCTCAAAGGGTGAGGTCACAGAGCTCAATTCCACCCAGAACTTGTGTTCTCCCCTTTGCATAGAAAAGGCCTTCAAGTCCCTCTCTGCCTCCTGGTGATGGGTTAAATGAATGAGGAAGTGAATGAATGAATGGTCTGGTCAGGGCTCAGGAGCAGCGCTGTGAATGGGAACGGGTAAGAGGGCCACTGGTGACGTGGGGAAGCATTAGACCTTGACCCCAACCCTGATACTCGCCAGCCCACTGTAGCTGTCAGGAACTCCTCTCCTGCCTGCCTGGGCTGCCCTGGCCTCTGGGACGTCTGTTTTGAGACAAAGTCTCACTCTGTCGCCCAGGCTGGAGTGCAGTGGCACGATCTCAGCTCACTGCAACCTCCGCCCCCCAGGTTCAAGCACTCTTCCCATCTCAGCCTCTTGAGTAGCTGGAATTACAAGCATGCACCACCATGCCCAGCTAATTTTTATATTTTTTGTAGAGAGGGGGTTCCGCCATATTGCTCAGGCTGGTCTTAAACTTCTGATCTCAAGCGATCTGCCTGCCTCAGCCTCCAAAAGTGCTGGGATTACAACATGAGACACTGCAACTGGCCTGGGTCGTCTCTGTAAAGGCATGGCTCACCTCAGGCCAGGGCTCAGAAGGTGACAGTCATGGCCATGGTGGCTGAGGTTGGGGCATCTGTACTGAGAGGGGACATTCTGAACAAAGAACCCCTCTATGAAGAAGCCACCTTGGATGCAAGTGACCCACCTGTTCCCACTAAGAGCAAGGGCCTGGAGCTGGACAGCTGGACCTCAGGCATTTTGTGTCACTATTGGGCACAGCCCAGAGTGAGGTGGATCCCCCTTCATGACTAACTCCCCACTGGACCTTTCCTTCTTCCACCTTCTCATCCTCACTGTGGCCAACTAGGCACCCACTGTGCCCAGGCGCTGGGGCAGCGGCTCAGAGGCATCCACTCCTCAGTCACCTCTTTAGGGTGGGAGTCCCAATTGCAGCCCCATTTTGCAGGTGAGGGAACTGAGGCCCAGAAAAGAGAAGTGGCCTGTCTCCACCACCAGGGGGCAGCTTTAGGAGTCACGCCTGGGACTCCTCATCCCTTGAGGTTCCCTCAAGCCTCCACTCTGACTCTGCAGGCCCCCACCCCATGCATCCCTCCTGCCCACACTGCCCTCCCTCCCCTGCACCTGGTCAAGCCACCCCTTGGCCTAGAGAATTTGCTGCTGTCGCTGACACAGCAGGGCCCCTTGCTGGCTTTCTGCTGCCTCCCCACTCTCAGTGCTCCCTCCCATCAGAGAGGGTGGGCTTTCCAAGAGCCCTCCCTCTGCTCACTCTCCTGCTTAAGGCTTTGACAGGCCAGGGGAGAGAGTGTCACCTTCAACACCATCCAGCCCTAAAATGAGGTGCACGCCTATAACCCCAGCACTATGGGAGGCCAATTACAGGCAGTTGGCTTGAGCTCAGGAGACTAAGACCAGCCTGGGCAACACAGCAAAACTCCATCTATACACAAAATTAGCCAGGTGCAGTGGTGTGTGCCTGTGGTCCCAGCTCCTTGGGAGGCTGAGGAGGATCACTTGGGCCTGGGAGGTGTAAGTTACAGTGAGCTGAGATGGCACCACTGCACTCCAGCCTGGGCAACAGATAGCAAGACCCTGTCTCAAAAAATCATAACAATTTAGGTGGAATATATATGGGAAGTCTCACTGCTTTCCAATGGACCTCTCTATAAACTTCAAGTCACTCTTTAAAAAAATTAAGTCTGTTTATCACAATAATTTTTTTTTAAAAATGTTTTTTTTTGAGACAGGCTCTTGCTCTCTGTTGCCCAGGCTGGAGTCCTGTGGCGCAATCTCGGCTCATTGCAACCTCCCCAGCCTGGGTTCCAGCGATTCTCCTGCCTCAGCCTCCTGAACAGCTGGGATTACAAGTGTGCACTACCACACCTGGCTAATTTTTGTATTTTTGGTAGCGATGTGGTTTTGCCATGTCAACTAGGCTGGTCTCAAACTCCTGGCCTCAAGTGATCTGCCCACCTCGGCCTCCCAAAGTGCTGGGATTACAGGCACGAGTCACTGCACCTGGCTAAAAACTTTTAAAATGTGTGTAACGTTTGATGACTTTTGGTGGAATCAACTATGCTCATGCCCACTTCCCCCACCCCCTCTGGCCACCAGGTTGGCACTTTTCCTTTTCATCAAGGAAGATGGTACAGCAGTTAGGATTCTGTGGCCACAACACCTGGGGTCAAATTCCAGCTCTATAACTCATAACCTGTGTGACCTTGGGAACTAGTATCTGCTACCTCATCTGTAAAATGAGAATGGGGTGGTACCTATCTGATGTGATGGCTGTGAGTTATCGTGTTCAGTGCTTTAAACAGGGATGGCATGAAATAGGTGTCCTATAAGGCTTGCTGCTATTGTCTCATCATCATTATAAACCAAAAATACATTCTAAGGCCCCCAACCATCTGAATGGACCCCTCCTCTTGGCCAAGGGCTTTCCATAGTGATCTAAAAACCTAATTCAGGCGATGAAGGAAGAGGGGTGGGACACGCCTCCTTATACCCCTGCAGCATCAACATCAGCACAGACTTTAAGTCTGGTGAGAAGCATTATAGTCTCTTCTCTCTAAAGCCTGCTACATGGAGGCTTCATCTGCATGAAAACACCTAGGTCACCACAAACCCTTATCATAACCCAGACATTCCTTTCTACTGATAATAAGCCTTTCAGGCCAGGCACAGTGGCTCATGCCTGTAATCCCAGCACTTTGGGAGGCCGAGTCGGGTAGATCACAGGTCATGAGTTCAAGACCAGCCTGACCACCTTGGTGAAACTCCGTCTCTACTGAAAATACAAGAATTAGCCGGGTATGGTGGCATGCACCTGTAACCCCAGCTACTCAGAAGGCTGAGGCAGGAGAATTGCTTGAACCGGGAGGAGGAGGATGCAGTGAGCCGAGATCACACCACTGCACTCCAGCCTGATCCGTCAAAAAATGAAATAATTCTTTCAACCAATTACCAAGCAGGGAATTTTTTATTTTTTATTTTTATTATTATTTGTTTTATTTTTTTTTAGACAGAGTCTTGCTCTGTCACCCAGTGCAATGGTGCAACTTCGGCTCACCACAACCTCCACCTCCCGGGTTCAAGTGATTCTTGTTCCTCAGTCTCCCAAATAACTCAGACTACAGGCACTGCTATCATGTCTGGCTAATTTTTGTATTTTTAGTAGAAACAGGGTTTCACCATGTTGGTCAGGCTGGTCTTGAACTCCTGACCTCAGGTTACCTGCCTGCCTCAGCCTCCCAAAGTGCTGAGATTACAGGTGTGAGCCATCGCACCCAGACTTTTTTTTTCCAAGCAGAGAATTTTTAAATCTACCTATGACCTGGAAGCTACCCTTCCCTTTCAGTTGTCCCGCCCTTCCAGATCTAACCAATATAAACCTTACATGTATGTATTAATTGATATATTTTACATCCCTAAAATGTGTAAAAGCAAGCACCTGACCACCTTGGGCACATGTCATCAGGAACCTCCAAGGCTGTGTCATGGGCGCGTCCTTAACCTTGGCAAAATAAACTTTCTAAATTGATTGAAACATGTACCAGATACTTTTTGGTTCACACATCATCATCATCATCCCTTTGGCAAGTCTCATAAGGAATGGCAGGTCTCATTTGTTCACCAGCACCTCCATGGTAGGGGTGCCTAGGGGGCTGTGCTGGGAAGTATTCTCTGGCCTCATTCCCTCTTGGCCATGCCCGGGGAAGCAGGAGTAGAGGCATACGTAGTGTATTTGCCCACCCTACTAGACTTTGGATGTGGAAAGGATCTGCCTAGCAAGTCTTGTTCACACCAGTATCTCCCGCCTGACACACTGAGATGCTCAGGAAACCTTAGCTTAGGGAAGATGTGGTAACGTGGCTCTTTTTCTATTTTTATCTTTTGAGACGGAGTTTCGCTCGTTGCCCAGCCTGGAGAGCAATGTCATGATCTCAGATCACTGCAACCTCTGCCTCCTGGGTTCAAGCGATTCTCCCACCTCAGCCCCCACACCCAGTAGCTGGGATTACAGGATCGCATCACCACACCTGGCTAATTTTTGTATTTTTAGTAGAGACGGGGCTTTACCGTGTTGGTCAGGCTGGTCTCAAACTCCTGACCTCAGGTGATCCACTAGCCTCGGCCTCCCAAGTGCTGGGATTACAGGTGTGAGCCACCGTGCCCGGCCCAAGACGCAGCTCTTGAGCCTTGTCATGCCAGTGATTCCTTAGGAGCAAACTGGCCTTGGCAACACGGCAGCCATGAGACTCCTTCCTGGAGTCTCTGTGCTGTGAATTATAAAGAACAGGAAGATCACCCAGGTGTGGTCCCGGGAGGATGACTGTGGCTCACCTGTTTCCCACACCATCATATACCCAGTGAGTGGAGCCAAGGCCCTGATAGGCCGACGCCCAGTAATAAAGACAGGAATTCAAATGCAGGCTGTAGAGAAGGTAGGCTGTGGTCCTGATGACCCTGCAGAAGGAACGCAGCGCATGAACACGGAAGCGGAACGGGAGGGCAAGGGATAGACACCTGGCCGGTGGGAGCCAACCCATGGCTGGGCTGACAGATTGGATGCTTTGTTGAGATTGCACCATTAGGAAGTGTGGTGCTTGAATGGGGTGTTGTCACGAGCTGGGGCTAGAATTGGCACAGAGGTAGCAGAGCTGCCTGTGCACTGGGCGAGTGGAGGCGCCAGAGGGGAAATGTGCAGGGAGGGGCAGGGAAGGACTGATGTGTGCAGAGAAATTGAAGATGGGCCGTGTTGCCCTGGAAGAGATGTGGACAGGAGCCTTGCTCCCTAACACGGCCTGGCTGGTCTTGCACCCCATCCTCAGACATCTGTGAAATGCCACCTTACATCTGTTCCCATTCTGTGAGAGCCGGCTGGGGGCTCCAGTTCCTGGAGCTGAGGCCAAAATGATGCCCAGCTCACTGCAATGCTGGTAAGCCCCTCTTGCTGGCTGATATGCGCCCTCATTACAGTGGGGAGCATCAGATATTCCTGGTTCTCTAAATAACAAACGTTTCTCCAGGAAAGAGGAGGTGGGACCAGGAAGTCGCCTGGCTTCCAGTGGAGACAGGGCCTGGAGGTCAGTAGGGGTAGAAAATTCCTTGCTGTATATTCTAGGTGTAAACTTCCTGTGGGGTGTGTGTGTGTGTGTGTGTGTGTGTTTGTGTGTGTGTCATTTGTATGTGTGTGTGTACATTGTGTATGTATGCCGTTGTGTCATGTGTATGCTGTTTGTGTCATGTGTGTGCCATTTGTGTCGTGTACATTGTGTGTGTTGTGTGTTGTGTCGTGTGTATTGCATGTAGTGTCTGTTGTGTTGTGTGTCGTTTGCATCGTGTGTGTGCATTGTGTGTCTGTGTGTCATGTGTCGTGTGTATTGAGTGTTGTGTCTGTTGTATATGTTGTGTGTATATGTGTGTGTGTTGTATGTTTGTGTGTGTCGTTTGCATCGTGTGTGTGCACTGTGTGTCGGTGTGTCATGTGTCGTGTGTATTGAGTGTTGTGTGTTGTATATGTTGTGTGTATATGTGTGTGTGTTGAATGTTTGTGTGTGTCGTGTGTGTATTGTGTGTCATGTGTTTGTGTGTTGTGTGCATGCACGCACACACGGGGGAGTCTCACCTGTACACGTAGGCTTTGCTGAGGACGGATTCCAGGCGGTTGTTAAACTCGAAGAAGGCCATGTACTGGAGGAAGAGCAAGGCATGAGACCAGCCCACTGCCCATAGGTAGCTCGCTGCCCTCACGCCCACAGGTGCCAGGACTCAGGGCCCTTCCTGCAGCCCCCGGGAGGAGGGAACAGGACGGTGAGCATTCAAAATCAGAAGCCCTTGGCCCCTTGAGGGATAGGGGCCAGAAACTCCATTTAGGAATAGCCTGTCTTCCCTTGGAAATGACACAAAATCCTATTCTCACAATTTTAATATAATTCCAGGGGACTCTTGGACCTTCTGACCCCTATCATGAGACTTTTAGGGGTGTAACGAATAAAGATGCTGTTTTTAATGTTTCTTATAAAGAAAACAATTTTGTAAAGAGACAGCATCCCTAATACCCTACTCTTACCTCCTTCAAAGGTTTGTTTATAATAATAAAGTACATTAATTGAGTATCTTTAAATGACTGGCTTTTTTTTTTTTTTTAAGAGACAGAGTCTCACTCCATCACTTAGGCTGGAGTGCAGTGGTGTGATCATAGATCACCGCAGCCTCGAACTTCTGGGCTCAAGCAATTTTTCAGTCTTAGCCTCCTAAGTAGCTGTGACTACAGGCACACACCACCACTCTTGCGTAAGTTTTAAGTTTTTTGTAGAGACAGGCTCTCACTCTGTTACCCAGGTTGGTCTCAAATTTCTAGGCCCAAGTGATCCTCCTGCCTTGGCCTCCTAAAGTGCTGGGATTATAAGCATGAGCCACCACGCCTAGCCAGCATATACATTTATATACATTACCTTATTGTTTATTTACATATGAAATACGTTGTCATTCTCCTTGACAGAAATTGGTGCTCAGAGTGGTCCAGTAACTTGTCCAAAGCACACAGCTGGTATGTGAGAGAGTCAGCATTCAAACTCAGGCCAGACCCAAAGCTGCAAGCTCTCTCCTTCTGCCAAACTCTCTGGATCTTTGTATTTATTTTTTGACATTTGAAAACAGTATTTATGAAGATTCTCTGAGAGATATGCCAGTTATCATCCAGGTGTTCATTTTAATTCCACCCACAGTTTAAACTGGAGGCAGAAAAAACAGGGCCTTGGATACCTCACTCAAAAAGTTTTGTGCACGGCGTGGTATTCAGTGTTAGGCCTGTGACTTATGCCCCCTCACAGGCCTAACACTGGGCCACCATGTGAACCAAGATATAGATCTCACCTCTAAATCTGGGGTGAAACTTGGCCTGTGGACCCAACCTTCCTCACTCTGATGTTTGGCTCTAAAGCAACCTCTGCAGCCCCTGGGAGGCTGGCATGGGTAAGGGAAGAATCATGCCAATTTCACTTTCCCCTTTCCTCTTGGCAGCCAGGAAGCTCAGAGGCAGTTTCCATGCTCAATTCCATATAGGTGTGCTTTCTTTTCATCAGGGCACTTATGTGCCCCCTTGTTTTATCCACCCAGTTTCTCCAGGTTGTTCATGTTATTGCATTTGACTTTTTGTAAATTCCCTCAGCATTGTTTTCAGAAAAAGGCACCAGGCATCATTTCAGGAGAGAGATAAATGTGATTGGTTGGCCAGCAAAATCCATTTGAGGGATCCTGAATGCTCTGAGTGGCTGTCCACCCTGGTCACATGACAGGACCACAGCCAGGTCTCTAGCCCACGTTGTGGCAGCCAGACCATCCTGAAGACTTTGGCTCTGCCCAGTGAGTGGCAGGGGGAACGGCTGGAATGACACAGGCCTGGCCAGTGATGAAATGGGTGTCCAGCTGTGCATTCAAATCATCCCTGGCTCTTCATTGCTCCTTCGACCTAGGGCAAGTCCCCCAGCCTCTCCCATCTTTTAGACAGAGACCATCATAATACAGAAGCCCCCTCTTGGGAATCTCCATATTCACTGAGAGCATAAACAGTGGAGACGCACGACCTTTATTCAAATTTGGGCTCCACTCCCTCCTTGCTGTGTGACTTTGGGCCAATTACTTAACTTCTCTGTGCCCCTTCCCTTCATTTGTAAAATGCTGGCAATAACACTACCTAACATGCAGCATCACAGAAGCACTGGCAATTGTAACGAACTCTCCACTAAGACACACGTGGAATAAATACAACTCCCCTCAGGCCATCCCTTGAGGATGCTCCCCTCCCCAGTGCTGCTGGTGGCAGAAAAGAAGATGCCAGTGCCGGCGCAGAGCTGAAGCCCCGGGGTAGTGGGCCCAGCCATCCTACCTTTAAACAGCGGGGCAGGCGGAGGAGGGGGTTCACACCGACTTTCAAATAGAGAAAATCCAAGGGCAGGAGGCTGAGCAGGTCCATCTGCAATCCCAACGTGACACCGCGGAGGTAAAACAGGCGAACCCAGATTTGAGGGTGAGGGAGTGAGAGATGGAGTCACTCCCGTCCATGGGAAGGTGAGGTCAGAATGTCGCAGGAGAGCTTACAGCTAGAGGGCAAAAGCTATCCCACCAAAAGGCTCTTGTTTGGCTTCAAAGCTAGAGTCGCCAGCCCCAAGGGCAGGTTCATTATCCCCGATAGTGACTGCTGTATCCCACCCAGCAGGGGTGGGAGTAGTACAGACACAATGAAAGATGGCTCCTGGCCAGGTATGGTGGCTCATGCCTGTAATCCCAGCACTTTGGGAGGCCAAGGTGGGCAGATCACCTGAGGTCAGAAGTTCAAGACCGGCCTACCCAACATAGTGAAACCCCATCTTTTCTAAAAATACAAAAATTAGCTGGGTGTGGTAGCGCACACTCGTAATCCCAGCTACTAGGGAGTCTGAGGCGGGAGGATCACTTGAACCTGGGAGGTGGAGGTTGCAGTGAGCCGAGATCGTACCACTGCATTCCAGGCTAGGAGACAGAGTTGGATCCTGTCTTAAAAAAAAAAAAAAAGGGTGGCTTCTGGGGACCACCCAGCCTGTGCTCATCTCCTGGGGTTTTTGGCTTGGAGGATAGTCCCATAGGGACCAGTATCCTTTGGTGTGGTAGAAACCAGATCTCACGGGTCCCCAGCACCCAGGCCCTCTGAGACACCCACTTCTGAAACCCCGCAGACACTAAAGCTTGCATTCCCAGCACACACCTTGAAGCGGCGAGATTTCAGGTAGTTATTCCGCATGTCCTTTTTGTCCGTCTGAAAGAAAGGGGAAAATGAGCTTGATCCCTGATCCTGTGGGGAGCAATTGTGAAATTCCCCCAAGATCCCCACTCAAATGAGCGTATCAACCCTGAGGACCATCTGAGCCTTGGTGAAAGCCTTGAGTTTTACAGGTGGAGAAGTCCACCCTCCAGGGAGGAGGGATTTGTTCCAGTCACCCAGCTAGATTCTGATTGGTTGGGTGGAAAGCGAGGATATTAAGCTCATTGTCTCTGCCCATTGGTCTCACCCGGACCATTTGCACATTTGTTTACTAAGGAACTGATAACCACTCTGATCAGTCAGAAAAGAGGTTCTTCAAGGAAATCTCTTTACTCCAAATTGTTTAGAGGCAAAACCTCAACTTGTCTGCACACAGCAAAACAGGCACTGCCAGGGTGGAATTTTGGAAAGTGACCCACACTGGGAGACAGTGACTGTGCCTCCTGTTACTGAGAAGTCACAGTCAGAGCCTCAGTTTCCTCCCTGGTAAGGGGTTGGGAGGGGGGCTGGACCAGAGGCCAGGATCTCACTGGCTCAAATAAGAGAGCATCAGTGTGTTCTTTGCAGGATTCCTGGGAGAAGCCGATTGCCAACAGTTACCTGTGCTGAACGCCCTGCATGCGTCGTTTCAACCAATCCTCATGGCAATGCTAGGAGGTGGAAGCTATTACCATCCCCATTCTACAGATGAGGAAACAGAGGCTCAAAGAGGCAATTCAGCTAGTTGTGGTGGAGGTGGAATTCAAACCAGGTGCGTCTTCACTAAAGACCACTCTCTGGACCACTTCTCCACCTATGAGCAATATCTGATGTGTGCAGTTTGAAGATATCAAAGGCATGAAAAATAACCAATCATGCTGTTGAGCAAGCACAGCAGCCATTCTTGAGATTTCCTCATTCATTGATTTTGTCATCTATGACAGCATCAGGAGTCAGTGCCCTGAGGGCTCTGGCTGGGAGATCTGCCCCTGGTCACCCCACCACCAGCTGCCTTTGACTCACAATGATGTCCCCGCCTCTGACAAACTGCAGGCGTATCTGGAACACAGTGATGTCCAGGAAGTAGATGAGGTCGCATAGGTAATCCGTCAGCAGCCAGAGGTGGATGTTGTCCGGGGTCTGGTAGGGGAAGGCCCAGCGCACAGGAATCAGCCAACAGTTCCAGTTCCAGGCCATCACCACGAAGAACAGCCATAGGATGTACATGAGGTCTGCGGGGAAGACAGGCAGGGACGCTAGAGCATCAGCCAGGCAAGGCTCTTCACCAGTGGGATCAGGCTGGGGGCTTTGTTCTTTCTACATTTCTGCACTTTCCTTCAACTACTACATGTGGCACTTTTGTAAGAAACAGAGAGAGAGAGAGAGAGAGACAGTGTGTGTGTATGTGTGTGTGTGTGTGTGTGTGTATGTGTGTGTGTGTGTGTGTGTAAAACTCTCTGCTTTAGGAGCCAGGCACAGTAAGTAGCTCATACCTGTAATCCCAGTGCTTTGGGAGGCCCAGGTGGGAGGATTCCTTGAGTCCAGGAGTTTAAGACCAGCCTGGGCAACATAGCAAGACCATTCTCCACTTTAAAAAAACATATCTGCTTTAAAAATAAATTACTGCTTAACTGGCAGTCAGTACTTGAAAATAAAACATAAAAAGAAATAAATCACTGCTAAGCCTTAATAAATCAGAGTACTCTCAGGAGAGAACATGCCATCATTATAAGATAATAGCCAACTAGAAAACCCATTTGCTTTCCTTCTTCTTTAATTTTTTCCTAAAATGTATTTCCTGCCTTAGTAAATACAAAATAGTAAATAATGCATGGAGGATGGAAAGATAGACAGACAGGTGAATGCAGGGATGGATGATGGATGGGCATTCCAGATCACCTGGTTATTTATTTATTTATTTATTGTTATTTTTGTAGAGATGAGTTCTCACTATGTTGCCCAGGCTGATCTTGAATTCCAGGGCTCAAACAATTCTTTCATTGTGCCCTCTCTCAGTGCTGGGATGACAGGTGTAAGCCTGCCAGGCTACCAAGTTATTTGAGAAACCCAGTGGACACCAGGGTTGAAGTCCTGGTCCCCCAAATGTGTGACCTTGAGAAAGTCTGTCTCTGGCACGTGTCCTGTCCTCTTCTGTGAAAACACAGGAAAAGGTCAGATAAGAAAGGCAGAGAGACCTCTGTAAACTCTAAAGTGCTATGCATATATGAAGTGATGTTATTTCTGAAGAATATGGAGTGGGCTTACAGGGAAGTGAGAGTAATTCACTTTAGATACTGAAAGAACTCCCGCCCTTTTCTGGTTCAGAGCAGGAGCTCCAGGAAAAAAGCCAGCATGACCAGAGTGAAAAAAGGACTTGGCCAAGAGTCAGGAGTCCTGCGTCTGCACTAACTAGTTGCATTGTTAGCCTGGCTGACTTCTCTGTGCCTCAGTTTCCTCATCCGTAAGATGGGGGTGATCTTATGTTTCTCTTCCAGGGACTTTTGTTGTTTTTAAGACAGAGTCTCACTCTGTCACCTAGGTTGGAGCGTGGTAGCATGATCTCAGCTCAGTGCAATCTCCACCTCCTGAGATTATAGGCGTGCACCATCACACCCAGCTAATTTTTGTGTCTTTAATAGAGATGGGGTTTTGCCATGTTGGCCAGGCTGGGTTTGTTTTGAGAATCAGGCAAGAAAGTGGAATGGTTTTGAAAAGTATAAAAGGTCATGAACCCAGGGTGTCTGTGGCCCTCCATCCCAACTCTCAAGTCCCCTGACCTTCTCCCCACCTCGCTCCCACTCTCCTGCCCTCTCACGTTACACGGTGGGAACACCCATGCCCCAGGACTCACTGGTCAGCGGGTCAATGCTCTGGGGAAACTGGTACTTCTTCCAGGGGCGGCGTTTGAACTTGCAGCAGAGCATGTTGCAATAGTGCCCCTCTTCCACTGGCTCGGCTTCCACAGGCTTCGTGTCTGGAGCTGGCTCTGGGGCTTTCTTGGCTGGGGCTGTGGGATAACATTGGTGACCATCTGAACCAGCCCTGAGGCCCATATAGAAGATGCAAAGAGAAGGGTCCCAATTGCAGACCCTGGATCCAGAGCTGAGAGGATGCTGGCACCATTATACAAACTGCTGCAAGCTCTGTGTGCAGAAGCCAAGGCACTCTCCTGGAGTGAAGTCCACAACTCCCTCCTCAACAGCAGCCTGGGTGCCCACCCAGAAACTCTTACCAACCACCAATCTGGAACTGCTTCTCAGAAGCTGCCCCAAACAAATTGTGTCTGGGCCAGTTGGATGTTTCGGTGTCTGTTTGTGTGTCTGTGCTTAGACCCCTGTGGTTCCTTCTGATGGGATGGGGGCATTTTGAACCCAGTGTTCCCAGTACCCATAAATGGAATGCCAAAGGACCTAACAAAATCAAGGAAGTGTTGTTCCAGGTTTCTGAGAGGGAATCTCAGCTCCTTCATCTCAAAAAACAGAGACCAGACGGTATCAAAGCCTCCTTGTGCATCTATGATGATACTTTTGGTGACCCAGGGATTGGCTCTCATAGGTTCAATACAGCTATGTTTTCTAGCTTCAAGACTGTGACATCAGGCTCTGCATGGTCTGCTGCAGGCACCATGATTTCCAAGATACACCCTGCTTTGGGAAAGATCTAAAAAAATCTCCCTGACAAGAGATCATGTTTCTTATTTCCTCCTGATACCTTGAAAGAAAAGAAACACTCGGACAGCCTCAATAAGAACTTTCAAGGCACTGAGGTCTCTGAAACAAGACTGTCTAGTTCCAGAGTAGGCTGTGCACACAATCTAAGTGTAAGACTATAAGATACATTTTGGGGTGGCACCACCTTTCCTACCAGTAGGAAAGGGACAGAAAGGTCAATGAAGGCACCTGTCCCATGGGAGAGAGGGCCAAGTGCAACTGGGTTGTTGGTCAGAACTTTGATCTTCTTCCCACTCTTGGGTACATATCTCAACCTGTTCATATGGACCCCAAATCCAGAGAGTGGGGATCTGGGCTTCTCTCATGGACCTCAACCATTTCCTTGGGGCACCCTCACTGTGAGTTGACAGGGGTGCTGTTTGGAGGCCCCACCCCATCCTGGCCCCAGATAGGCCCCCTCCAGCTCCAGACTCACAGGGCTTGGGGCTCTCCTCGTCAGAGGTGACGTCAGGGTCGATGAGTTTCTCCTTCACCTTCTCTGTTCGCTCCTTGAAGAGCTTCACCAGCTCCTGGAGCCGGTCATTGATGATGGCGCTACTTGTGCTGGCCATGGAGACCGCACGGTCCTGGCTGCTGTGGGAACACCACCCAAAGCTGAGCAGGCTGAGCTGGGAGGGACCCCTGAGCCCCCAGGCCAGAGCTGTGCATCGTCTGTGTCCCACCTTCTGACAGAGCCTGAAGGAGATGAGTCCTGCCCCCATCTCCTGACATCAGAAATCATAGACCTACTGTAATCTCCTAGGAGGAAATTCAGTCCGAGAATAATGCCCAGGTGTTCTGGCCCAGCTTTTAGAAAATGTACCACGTAGGCTGATTCAGATAGGCAGTTCTGAAAAAAGCGTGATTCTACTTGTAATTTAGCAGGAAACTCTTAGAACTCAGTTTAGAGTTCAGCAAAATTGGGCGTTTGTCCCAGTGCGGGGTTCATGCGAGATACGTGTTCAAGAGCAGAACAGAGAGGAAGCAGGCCTACTTTTTTAGGCTTAGGAAACTGCTGGTGGAAAAAGCAGTGCAGATACATTCTATATTCTTTTAACTTACAGGAATTAAAGTTTCTGCACTGTCAGCGAGAGAGCGAGAGAGAGAAACAGAGAGTCAGAGAATGAATGAGCCTGCCTAGCATTCAACTCAGCTTGGGCGTGTGCCCTGGATGCATCAAGGCAGGCCTGTGAACGTGCTTTCTTTCCTCTGAGTGGCCTCACTGAGATCATCTTGCTGAGCTGAATATCTTTTTTATCTTTTTTTTTTTCATATATTAAGACACAGAAACTGTAGTCAACTACTCTTTTTGAGCTCAACTGAGGAAGCCAGGCTGAGTTTCACTCTTGTCACCCAGGCTGAAGTGCAGCGGCACGATCTCAGCTCATTCAACTTTCACCTCCTGGGTTCAAGCAATTCTCCTGCCTCAATATCCTGAGTAGCTGGGATTACAGGCGTGCACCACCATGCCTGGCTAAGTTTCATATTTTTAGTAGAGACAGAGTTTGGTCATGTTGGCGGGGCTGGTCTCGAACTCCTGACCTCAGGCAATCCACCAGCCTCGGCCTCCCAAAGTGCTGGGATTACAGGCGTGAGCCACCATGCCCAGCCAAGTGTGAGGCTTCTAATGAGAGCTGGCATACAGGTGTGGCAGGGACTTGAGCTGCTTCCTCACACATTCTTTCCCATGGTGCACACTCACTGGGGTGTAGCCCCCCAGCCAGGGACCACGTGCCAGGCTCTCGCTATTGAATGTGAGCTCTCAGACAAAATACATGCAACTGAAGACAGGCCTGGAGTTCTCCCTTTCTGGTGGCGACCAGTGGGATCTGGGAAGCCAAAAGGGGAAAGTGGCAGACCGCTGTCATCTGGGTCCCTAAATGATTACATGGAACAGAGCCTTCTGTTGACCTGACTCATGCAACTAGTGAGACAACAATGGCATATGACACATTGTGTTCCTTTGGGGTCAAAGCCACTGAGCCTTTGGGGTCCATTTGTTACAGCAGCCTAGCCTGCCTAGCCAATACATGGGTCTCCAAGTTGACCTCCTTAAGAGTCCTCAAGGATAGGTTTTATCATTATACCTCATTTCTGCCATCATTTCTCATATTAAACCCTACCCCTACCCCTACCCCACCTCATAAATATGAGTCCACTGCGTGCTACAGTGGGCAACTGCACCGAGAGTGAGGTCGGGGCTTCTTCTTGCTTCCTTATCTTTTCTAACTTTCCACAGCTCTGTTAAGCATAAACTGCATAAAATTGTGGACAGAAAAAGAAAGCCTGGAAGGAGGAAGGAATGCCTACTCCTGGCTCATCCAGGAGTCACAGCCAAGGGCTGTGATGGGGACTCCAGGCAGAGCCCAGGGCTGGGGCATTCACCACCCACCAGGGCTTCTCATATCCTTCGGGGAGATACCTCTCATTGGCCCAGCCCCAGGGACAGTTTGATCTCAGAGACCCAGGTCCCAATGCCATCACAGTGGTTTTTTCCTTTCTTTTTTTTTCTTTTTTGAGATGGAGTCTGGCTCTTGTTGCCCAGGCTAGAGTACCAAGGTGCGATCTCAGCTCACTGCAACCTCCACCTCCCGGGTTCAAGTGATTCTCCTGTCTCAGCTTCCCGAGAAGCAGGGATTATAGGCATGCACCACTATGCCCAGCTAATTTTTGTATTTTTAGTAGAGATGGGGTTTCACCATATTGGTCAGCCTAGTCATAAACTCCTGATATCAGGTGATCCGCCCGCCTCAGCCTCCCAAAGTGCTAGGATTACAGGCGTGAGCCACTGCGCCTGGCGTCATCATAGTGGTCTGTAAACATTGTCCTGCAGGCCAGCTGCACCACATCCCCTGGGGAGTGTGGGAAATGTGGACTCCCCAGGCCACTGTCTGTGGTTCTGATCTAATGGATCCAGGTAGGGCCAGGGAATCTTTTTTTTCCCCCCACAAACTCCCAGGGCAGAACCCACTGGAGATCCTGGTGATCCTCCCTGTCCCCACTGACCTTTCAGGGGTTCAGTGGCAGGAGCCCTGCTGGTGGCTCCCCTCAGCCTCTCCTTCACAAGGGAACCTCTGCCTAGAGATCCCTCCCTCTCTGAGTGCTGCTGGCTGTGGACACAGCTAGGCCCAAATATTGAGCCCACTGGATGTTACAGGACTCCTGGGTCAGCCAGAAGCAGGCTGGGCAGGAGACTGGTCCTGACCTACTGCTCAGAAGCCACTGGCAAAGTCTGCCTTGTGGTGGAAGGTTCTAAAAGCATCGACACTAGCCTCCCCCCCAAATATCCCCCACTCCCGCCCAGTCTTTCAACTTTCTGAGACCCCAGAGGGGTCTCACTCAGTGTTCTTCGGGGTGGTGGGGTCCGACCAGGCAACCACTGGGGACTCAGCTGGAGACAATGCCTTGAGCTCTTCAGCCTCATCATCCTCAGAGGGCAGCTTCTTCCTGTAAAGACACAGATGTGGAGGGGGCCTTCAGCAAGGACAGAGTTCCCAGGGAGAAGTGACATGACTCTGACCCTAAAGATCACCTAGAACCAACTCCTAGATAGACAGTGGGGGTGGAGCATAAACCTCTGGGTCCTTGTTTGCCTGAAGGGAGGGAAAAGGCAGAGGAGAGGGTCATAGTCACTCTCCAGACCTCAGTCTTCCCAACTGTTAAACGGCTTGGCATAAGGGTAACAGCATTGACTTGGTGTTGCACCCCAGTCCTGGCTCTTACCAGTGTGTGACCTCAGCAAATTGCTAAAACACTCTGAGTTACCTTAGTTTCCCGCTCTGTAAAATGGGGCTAAATCTACCCAAGTAAATGAGAGACTTATCACTGATTTCTCAGCAGAAGCTTGTTCCCCTCTCCAGCTCTGGGTCTAAAGTCACCCACGTCATTCCCCTCCACTCTATCAGACCACCTCTTCAGGTATCAGAGAAGCTATGGGTCCAGTCTCCAGCTCAGAGTGGGAACTTGGGCAAGTCCCATCCCTTCCTGAGCTCCAGGCTCCCTATCTGAAGAATGACGACTAAATTGTCCTGGGGTCCTCCATCAGTCAGGAAGTCCAAGTCTGCCACAGAGTGCTGCATTTTGGAGCCTTTCGTGTCTTGGCTGATGATGTCAAGGTCTGAAATCCACCTGAATTTCAGAGACAAGAAGGTTCTCGCCCAACTCACCCCTGGCCTGAAGGCAGGTTGGAGCCTGGGCAGCTGACTTGGTAGAAGAGGTGCCTTTGACTCTATTTTACCTTGGCATCTTAGGGTTAACTCTGCATTCTCCCACCCTCTGTCCCAAAAGTGAGAATGAATTGCTTTACTGGGGAATACAAAAGCCTGGGAAAGAAGAAAAAGGACCGAAAGAGAAATTCCTTAGTACCACCAAGAAAGCAAGCTCTAGTTTTAGAGAAAGAACCTTGTTTAAGATAGAGTCAAACGAGCTGACGTAGAAACGCAAAGGCTGTGTCCGGAGGACCCCGCCAGCCAATATCTACCAATAGGAAGAACATTTTATACGTCCATGAATTAAGTCCTGGTGGAGAAGAATGGTCATTCTTTTTATTTTATTTTATTTTTATTTATTTTGAGACAGAGTCTCTCTCTGTCCCCCAGGCTGGAGTGCAGTGGCACGATCTCGGCTCACTGCAACCTCCACCTCCCGGGGTTCAAGCGATTCTCCTGCCTCAGCCTCCAGAGAAGGTGGGACTATAGGCACGTGGCACCATGCCCACCTAATTTTTTGTATTTTTAATAGAGATAGGGTTTCACTGTGTTAACCAGGATGGTCTTGATCTCCTGACCTCGTGATCCGCCTGCCTTGGCCTCCCGAAGTGCTGAGATTACAGGCATGAGCCACCGCGCCTGACCAGAATGGTCATTCTTAATGACTTCCATTAGCATTTAAAACATAGAAGACTGAGTGTTAGCACATGAAACCTAGAGTCTGGGGACACGAGTATGCATGTCAGCACATGAAAGCTTATGTGTTAGCTCACAGGATGAGCATCAGATCAGTCAATAACATGGAGATGAGAGTTTAGGACTTGATCTGCTTTGGCTCTGCGACCCCACCAAATCTCACATGGAATTGCAATCCCCAATGTTGGAGGTGGGATGTGGCGGGAGGTGACTGGATCATGGGGGCGGAGTTCTCGTGGTTTAGCACCATCCCCACTTAATACTGTATAGTGAGCGAATTCTGATTGTTTAAAAGTGTGTGGCACCTCCCCCCCCACTCAGTCCTGCTCCTGCCATCTGAGAACCTGTTCCTTTTGTCCCCACCATGAGTATAAGCTCCCTGAGGCCTCCCTAGAAGTAGATACCGCCATGCTGCCTATACAGTCTGTGGAGCAACAAGCCAATTAAACCTCTTTTTTTTTTTTGAGACAGAGTTTCACACTATCGCCCAGGCTGGAGTGTGCAGCGGTGTGAGCTCGGCTCACTGCAACCTCTGCCTCCCAGGGTCAAGCGATTCTCATGCCTCAGCCTCCCAAGTAGCTGGGATTACAGGCACGCACTGCCATGCCCAGCTAATTTTTTGTGTGTACTTTTAGTAGAGATTGGGTTTCACCATGTTAACCATGCTAGTCTTGAACTCCCAACCTCTGATGATCCACCTGCCTTGGCCTTCCGAAGTGCTAGGATAACAGGCATGAGCCACCGTGCATGGCCTCTCTCTTTTCTGTAGAAATTACCCAGTCTCAGGTATTCTTTACAACAATGTAAGAATAGAATAATAGAGGAATTGAACCTGAGTTTATAAAAAATGAGCATAGCATGGTAATACACACAGCTGAATCAGCAGGAGAAGGCTGACTGTGGGGACTTGAAAATAAAATGCAAGTTGGGAGTGGTAGGACTAGAAAACGGTTAGAGGCTGGGCCCCTGCTGTGAAGGTCAGGCTGCAATCGCTAAACTCGATAAGGCTATCCTCAGCCTTGGTGAACACAGGGCAGCCTTGCTGTGGTCTTTAGCTAAACACTGTGAAAGCAAATGGTACAGCTGACTTCCAGAAAATAGGTCCTGGGACTTTGGTTTCCCAAGGGAAGCTCATGATAACTTTTTTTTTTTTTGAGATGGAGTCTCACTCTCTCACCCAGGTTGGAGCGCAATGGCACAAGCTCAGCTCACTGCAACCTCCAATTCCTGGGTTCAAACAATTCTTCTGCCTCAGCCTCCTCAGTAGTTGGGATTACATGCCTGGCTAATTTTTGTATTTTTAGTAGGGACAGGGTTTTACCATGTTGGCCAGGCTGGTCTTGAACTTCTGACCTCCGGTGATCCACTTGCCTCATCCTCCCAAAGTGCTGAGATTACAGGCATGAGCCACCATGCCAGGCCATGATTACTTTTTACCAGGGCCCTCACTTCTGTGAGATTTAATCAGAAATGGAATCCACAGGCAGGGAGCCTTACCTTGGGACCAAGCCTGACAAGGCTCTTCAGTGATAACTCTGCAATTTCAGCAGAAGCTGAAAGCTCCAGCCAGTCCCCACATTCCCCACTTTCCCCAGCTAGAGAGTCAGAGGAGGAGCCTCCCTCTGGTTTCTTCTCTAAGAGCACATCCCAGGGCCAAGCCCGGAGCTGCCCAAACCTGCTGACATCAGCACATCTTCCCAAGATGCTCATATCAGCAGAGGTTCCTACTCCAGCCCCTGAGGGCCAATCACAGAGCTGGGAAGAGGATGCTGGGAGCGGGGGTCACTGAGGCCATCACTGTGCAGCCGCAACACTCTGCTGGGACCCAAACCCGAGTTTGCCAGTGTTCCAGCCAATGCTCTTTCCCAGCCTCACCACCATGACTCCGGATTCCATCACTAGGGTTTCTAGGGGGATACAGAAGGAGGGACATGTGGCATCCGTGTTGATTCTAAAGGTTCTGAAGTGATCCTGTTGCCTTCTGCGAACTCGCCTAGGATGGCAAAACTCATGGATTCACTTTTCTGCACTGTAAGTAACAAGAACCGCCACACTCAAGAAGACTAGGGCCAAAAATCCCATTGCTGGGACCCAGTGCAGGGCACTCTTCTGAGCCTAGAAAGTGCATACTGCCGTAGGGCACTGTGGCTCACACCTATAATCCCAGCACTTTGGGAGGCTGATCACTTGAGGTCAGGAGTTCGAGACCAGCCTGGCCAACATGTTAAAACCCCGTCTCTACTAAAAATACAAAAATTAGTCAGGCGTAGTGGTGGGTACCTGTAATCCCAGCTACTTGGGAGGCTGAGGCAGGAGAATCGCTTCAATCAGGGAGGCAGAGGTTGCGGTGAGCCAAGATCACACCATTGCACTCCAGCCTGGGCAACAAGAGCAAAACTCTGTCTCAAATAAACAAAAAACAAGAAAACCCCAAAACACGAAAGTACAAGCTGCCCCAGAGAAGCCAGAGTGAGGACCTAAGCTGGGAGCTCCTGGTCCCCCAGCAGCGCCTATGTCTTCCTTGTGCTGAATGCTGCAGGGTGCAGTAGCTGGTCAAATTCTCACAATTCTGGTAACCAAGAGGCGTTTCTGCCCTCGTCTTACACAGGGAAAATGGAGGCCTAGGGAGGTTAAATGACCCATGTTAAGAACCATGTCTTAGAAGGGGTGCTCTGAGATTGACTCCAAGCCACGGCCTTAAGCTGCAAGGAGGGCCTTGCCTAAGCTAATCTATGGCTTTGGGGTTCTTGTCAGTTGCTCCCAATGTTCACTCTGTCCCTGCTCACAGTCAGCCCCACCGGCCTCGGCCTCTACAGAGAGGCAGGCCTCAGAACTCTCCCCTCTCAGGGCTGGGCTCAGGCAGAAGTTTCCCACCCATTTCTCATAGTCACATTCAACCTGGCAATTGTTTGTTTATCTGGTTACTTGTTCACTGTCTATCTCAGCCCCTCTAGAATGTCAGCCCCATGAGGGCAGGCCCCTGCCAGGCTTCTCCCTCGTGCATCCCCAGGGATGAGCCCGGCACATACAGATGTTCAGCTCATGCTTGTGAATGCATGAATGGCAGGGACAAGAGGAGCCTCGCAGGCCCAGCTCACAAGCAGAAGGCCACAGGCTTGGATTCCAGCCCCACATGATCTTGGTCCCCTCCCTCTCCTAAATATGCCACCCCCTACCCAGGCCAGCCTACACCATTTTCCTGCCCATATAAAGGGAACAGGGGTAAATAGACCAGATGCCTATGACTGGAGCCATTTCTGGATCACTTAATGGGCTTTGTACATAATTCAGTGAATTCAACTGATGAAGCTGTGAGCTGTACTCCCCCAGCTCAGTGAAACTCTATCGCTTTTCTCTATGTTAAGACTTCACCGCCCTCAGTTTGCTATATCCAGCCACTTCACTCTGACAGGCTTCTGACCTCAGCTGAGCAATTACTCATTAGCTCATGGATAAGAACAAAAATTAATTAAGAAGAAAGAACCATCTCTCCGTCCAGCCAGTGCAGAAGCAGCACTGACAGCCTCCCTCTGCTTAAAAAGCACTGTCCTGCCCTTGGCAGCCTGCCTGCAGCTGTACACAGAACCCTCTCCCAGGGAACCTGGCTCCAGTTGTCCAAAAGCAGCTCTAACCGCTCAGCAACAAATTTATCTGAAGAGGTGTAGAAACGTGCACCACCTTGACCAAGAGTGTCACTTCTGAGAATGGAGCCCAAGGGCAGAGAGGAAAAGACCAAACACGTGATCATGACGCCATTATGGATAGGGCTCAACAAGAGGGGATTTGTTAAGTTCATTCCGGCACGTGGAGCTGGAGGAATGCCCAAGAGCCATCATAAGTGAGCATTCAGGAGACAGTCCAGCAACATAGAAAAGGGTGCATGGAATGAGACAGCACTGTAAACTGGATCCCTCCTCCAATTAAAACCACACAAGACCATGAGCCTAACCAAGGCATAGAGAAGGCAGAGCAGTCCAAACACCATCTAGGGTGGTGGGGTTGTAGATGATTATCTTTCTAATGTTCTATGGTATTTCCATTATATTATCTTTTTTTCCCCCTCTCTCTCTCTCTTGAGATGGAGTCTCACTCTGTCACCCAGGCTGGAGTGCAATGGGGTGATCTTGGCTCACTGCAACTGCCACCTCCCAGGTTCAAGTGCTTTTCCTGCCTCAGCCTCCTGAGTATCTGGGACTACAGGTACACACCACTATGCCCAGCTAATTTTTATATTTTTTAGTAGAGATGAGGTTTTGCCATGTTGACCAGGCTGGTCTCAAACTCCTGACCTCAGGTGATCCATCTTCCTTGGCCTCCCAAAGTGCTGGGATTACAGGCATGAGCCACTGTGCCCAGCCCACGTTATATTATCTAATAATACAGTGGGTGGATGACACTGAAAGCACAAGTAACAAAAGCAAAAACTAGACAAGTGGAATTATCTCCATCTAAAAAGCTTCTGCATAGAAGGAAATAACAGAGTGAAAAGAAAGCCCAGAGAATGGAAGAAAATCTTTGAAAATTATATATTTGATAAAAAATAAGAAACTCCTACACCTCAAATATCAAAAGAAACAAACATTAATAACAAAAAAATAGGCAAAGAACTCAAATAGACATTTCTGCAAAGAAGACATACAAATGGCTAGCAGGTATAGGAAAAGCTGCTTGACATGACTAAGCATTGGTGTGTTAGTACATTTTGACATTGCTATAAAGGACTACTTGAAACTAAGTAATTTACAAAGGAAAGAGGTTTCAGTGACTCACAGTTCCGCACGGCTGGGTAGGCCTCAGGAAACTTACAATCATGGCGGAAGGCAAAGGGGAAGCAAGGTGCAGCTTACATGGCAGCAGGAGAGAGAGAGGGAGAAGGAGAGTGCCACACTTTTTTTTTTTTCTTTTGAGACAGAGTCTCACTCTGTTGCCAGGCACCAGGCTGGAGTGCAGTGGAGTGATCTCGGCTCACTGCAACCTCCGCCTCCCGTGTTCAAGCAATTGTCCTGCCTCAGCCTCCCAAGGAGCTGGGGCTACAGGCGCGCGCCACCACACCCAGCTAATTTTTGTATTTTTTAGTAGAGACGGGATTTCACCATGTTGGCCAGGATGGTCTTGATTTCCTGACCTCGTGATCCACCTGCCTCAGCCTCCCAAAGTGCTGGGATTATAGGTGTGAGCCACCGCGCCCGGCCACTGCCACACTTTTAAACCATCCCACCTCATGAGAACTCACTCGTTACCATGAGAACAGCATGGGGTAAACCACCCCCCTGATCCATTCACCTTCCACCAGGTCCCTCCCTTGACACATGGGGAGTACAATTTGAGAGAAGATTTGGCCAGGGACATAGAGCCAAACCATATAATCAGGAAAATGCAAATCAAAACCACAATGAGAAACCATCTCACACCTATTAAGATACCCATGATCCTAAAAAAAAAAAAAAAAAACAACCCAGAAAGTAACAAGCATTGATGAATATGCAGAGAAATAGGAAAAATGGTATAGTCACTGTGGAAAACAGCATGATTGTTCCTCAAATATTATAAATAGGACTGCCATATGATCCTGCAATCCCTCTTCTGGGTGTTTATCCAAAATAATCAAAATCAGAATCTCAAGGAGATATTCGCACTCCCATGTTCACTGTAACACTTATTCACAATGGCCAAGAAATGGAAACCATAGAAATGTCCACCAACAGAAAAATAGATAAAGAAAATGCAGGGTGGGTGTGGCAGCTTACACCTGTAATTCCAGCAGTTTGGGAGGCTGAGGCAGGTGGATTGCTTGAGCTCAGGAGTTTGAAACCAGCCTTGGGCAACATACTGAGACCCCATCTCTACAAAAAAACAAAAAATTAGCCGGGTGTGGTGGCATGTGCCTGTAGTCGCAGCTATTTAAGAGGCTGAGAAGGGAGAATTGCTTGAGGAGCCCAGGAGGTCAAGGATACAGTGGGAAAGAAAGAGAGAAAGAAAGAAAGAGAGAAAGAAGAAAGAAAGAAAGAAAGAAAGAAAGAAAGAAAGAAAGAAAGAAAGAAAGAAAGAAAGAAAGAAAGAAAGGAAAGAAAAGAAAAGAAAGAAAGAAAGAAGGGAGGGAGGGAGGGAAAGGAAGGAAGGAGAGAGAAAAGAAAAGCAAAAAGAGAGGAAGGAAGGAGAGAGGGGGAAGAGGGAGGGAGGGAGGAGGCAGGGAGGAGGGAAAGATAAAAAGGAGGGAGGAGGAGGGGAGTGGGAGGGGAAGAGGGAGTGGAGGGGAGGTTGGTTCCCAGGCTCCACTTGAGGTATATCAAGTGTATATCAAATGTGGTATATCCATACAATGGGATATTACTGAGATTTAAGAAAGAAGAAAATCTTGTCATATGCTACAGTGTGGACGAATCTCAAGGACATTGTGCCGAGAGAAATAAGACAGTCCCAAAAGATAAATACTGCATGATTGCACATACATGAAACAAGTAAAGTAGTCAAACTCACAGAAACAGAAAGCAGAATGAAAAAGGAGAATGGTGGCTTCCAGGGGCGGGGGTGGGGTGAAGGGAAGCATGGGGAGTTGCTGCTCAATGGGTGCAGAGATTCACTCATACAAGATGAAACGTTCTAGAGATCTGCTGTAAAATAATGTGCATATAGGTAAAAATACCATATTGGACACTTAAAATTTAAGACGGTTTTTTTAAAAAGTACTCAGTGAGTTATAATCATATGCAAGTTTTCATAAATAGCATCCTGTCAAAAATGAAATAAAATGAGGTAGAAATTAATTCTGTAACATTTATTATATATTACTATATAAATTATTTAATAAGTTTTCATTTTTTTTATTTTTTAAAATGGAGTCTTGTTCTGTGGAGCAAGTGGTGGAGTGCGATGGCACAATCTCAGCTCACTGCAAGTTCTGTGTCCCAGGCTCAAGCAATTCTCATGCCTCGGCCTCCCAAGTAGCTGGGATTACAGGTGTGGGCCACTATGACTAGCTAATTTTTTTTGTATTTTTAGGAGACACAGAGTTTCACTATGTTGGCCAGGCTAATCTTGAACTCCTGGCCAACAGGCTGTGGCTTCTGTGGCTTTGTGGCTTCTTTCAAATGATTCACCTGCCTCAGCCTCCCAAAGTGCTAGGATTACAGGCATGAGCCACTGTGCCCAGTTATTACTAGATTATTTATTATATTACTTCTTCTAATTTATAGCTGAGGGCATTTGGGACAGGGCCTCCCATGAGAGCTTTTACAAGAGCCCTAAGCCAGGAGTTAGGAGAACCAGGAAGGGGTGTCAGAGTCCACTTCTGACACCAACTCGCTGTGTGATTTTAAGCCAGCTGCTTCTCCCTCTGACCTCATTCTCTTCATCTGCCAAATGAACAGGTGACGCAGTGCTGAGAAAAGCCCAAGAGAAGCATAAAAGCATAAAAGCTAACCTGTGTGTTCCCGAGGCTGAGTTTGGGACCGTGAGGGTGTCAGATTTGGCAGGAGATGGTAGTGGCAACAAGGGTGAGGGTGGATTCTCTTCCACCAGGAGGGCGTGCCCATCAGCATCGGTATCTTCCACCTGCACTTCCGGACGCTCTTTTGTGGCAGGCACTGGGGGAGAAGGAGAGGAGAGAGTCAGAAAGAGACAAAAGCCAGGTCCCAGGAGCCTGGCTGTGTTCTTGGAGAAAACCACAGAAAGCATGTTTGGAGCAGGCTCTGGCAGCTTCAGTCCCAATGGGGTGCACAGAAAAGCTCTATGCAGGGGGTGCAAAAATGCAGTGCCCGGGGTTCTCTGAGGGTCACCACCACCCCAGCCACCAGCCCAGGAGCCACAAAAGAAGCCACAAAGCCACAGGAACTCCCAGACACAGCCTGGAGCCCAGCTCTCCTAGCTCTCCAAGCCCAGCTTGTTTTTCCCTGCCCTTGAGCAAGCTCTAATGAGCTGAGGCAGTGACAGCACCCAGAGAGGGCACAGAAAGCCTAGGGAGCCAGAGTCCTGGCGCCTGGCCTAGCACAGCCTGAATCAGCTGCTTTCCCTGTCTGAGCCTCAGTTTCCCTACCCTAAGGTAGGCTGACCATGCCTTCCCAGGCCTGTAGGGAAGAGTCAGAAAGCACAAGTCCTCACATTTTTAAAAATATATATTTTATTCATTTGTTTATTTTTGAGAGGGGGGTTCTCACTCTGTCACCCAGGTTAGAGTGCAGTGGCACAATCACAGCTCACTGCAATCTCTGCCTCCCAGGCTCAACTGATCCTCCCAGCAGCCTCCTAAGTAGCTGGGACCGCAGACACACACCACCATGCTCGGCTAATTTTTGTACTTTTGTAGCAACAGGGTTTCACCATGTTGCCCAGACTGGGGACAAACTCCTGAGCTCAGGTGATACTCCTACCTTGGCCTCCCAAAGTGCTGGGATTACAGGGGTGAGCCACTGGGCCCAGCCAGCCTCACATCCTTGAAGAGCATCAAATGGAGACATTTGGAGGGTCCCGCCAGTCAAAGGTAACACACTGTGTAGCATGTGCTACTCCCTATTTGGGCATGTCCTTGTTCTTGTACATGCCAGGAGCCCCCATATTCATCTGCTAGTCTGACTCTGGACCTGAGAGGCCTAGTACTATGTCCCACATTCCTGAGAATCGGGTCCTCTCCGGGGAGCCTGGGCGTGGCCATATCTTGGGCTCCATCACCCACCTCAGGGACTGCAGGGACAGTTTTGCCCCAAGTCCAAGCTCAGAGGGTACTGAGGGACTGAAATGGTATTCCCCCTTCCCCATCCAACAGCAACAGGGCACAGGTCTGGGCACCAGCAAGGCAGGCAGGGATATACACCCCAAAAGGGAGAAGTGGAGGGATTTTGAAATAATTATATATGTTTTTTCCTTTTTTTTTTTTTTTTTTTTTTTTTTTTGAGATGGAGTCTGGCTCTGTTGCCCAGGCTGGAGTGCAGTGGCACAATCGCAGCTCACTGAAACCCCTGCCTCCTGGATTCAAGCCATTCTCCTGCCTCAGCCTCCTGAGTAGCTGGGATTACAGGCCCCTGCCACCACGCCCAGCTAATTTTTGTATTTTTAGTAGAGATGGGGTTTCACCATGTTGGCCAGGCTGGTCTCAAACTCCGGATCTCAGGTGATCTGCCTGCCTCGGCCTCCCAATGTGCTGGGATTACAGGCATGAGCCACTGCACCTGGCCAATATGTGCTTTTTGTCAAATGGCCTTTATGAGAAAAGCCAGCACTTTGTTAAATTGCTTACACTTACTCTATACTTTGGTGGAGCGAACCCTAAATCCTCTGGAGAAGAGGATGAACAGGAATGGAGAAGTTAGTAGAAATGTAAGCAGGGGCCAGGCACAGTTGCTTAAGCCTGTAATCCTAGCACTCTGGAAGGCTGAGGTGGAAGGATCCCTTAAGTTCGAGAGCAGCCTCCACAACCCAGCAAAATACAAAAAATACAAAAATTAGCTGGTCATGGTGTTCCAGCTACTTAGGAGGCTAAGGTTGGAGGACAGCTCAAACCTGGGAGGTCGAGGCTACAGTGAGTCAAGATCACGCCCACACACTCCAGCCTCAGCGACAAAGTGAGATCCTGTCTCAAAAAATAATAAAAAATAAAATAAAATGGAAATAATGTTCTTATTACAGCTTCTCATTGTCTTGTCTGTAGCATCTAGAATCATCATGTGCTCCAGCACAGCTGGGTCAGCCCATTGTTTCAATATGTCCCTGGGAACATTTCAAAAATCATCTTGAAATGATGATTTCCCCAGAGACCGGGGAGGACACTAGATGATTTTTGACGGCACAGACAAGGCAAAAGATAAACTAGAATATTACTCCTGCTGGGCGCGGTCACCCACGCCTGTAATTCCAGCACTTTGGGAGGCTGAGGCAGGAGGATCATCTGAGGTCAGGAGTTTGAGGCCAGCCTGGCCGACATGGCAAAACCCCATCTCTACTAAAAATACAAACATTTCCCAGGTGTGGTGGCATATGCCTATAATCCCAGCTACTTGGGAGGCTGAGGCAGGAGAATCACTTGAACTTGGGAAGCGGAGGTTGCAGTGAGACAAGATCGCACTATTGCAGTCCAGCCTGGGCAACAGAGCTTGAGACTCCATCTCACACACACACACACAAAAACCATTTACCCCCCTTTTAGTGAATACCCAGAGAGGAAGTCTCAGGTTGGTGCCACTGTGGTCTCAGTGCCTCTGACACAGCCTAAAACCATTTGCAGCTAAGTGAGCAGGCCCCAGCTGCAAGCCTTCAGCAGGCCCATCCATCTCATTAGAAAACAGCAACACCATTTTGTTTTCAGTGTTATTTGAGGTTGTTTTTATTTATGCCTCTATTTATGGCAAGCAATGCTGGTTTTCCATTTGAATAGTAATGAAAAGTTTTCCTACTTAAATATACTTAATTAAATAAAAAGGAGAATCCACTGATAGAAAAATAGTAAGCAAATAAAAATAAAGTCGGGGCCAGGCGATGGCTCATGCCTGTAATCCCAGCATTTTGGGAGGCCGAGGTGGGTGAATCAGCCAAGGTGAGGAGTTCAAGACCAGTCTGGCCAACATGGTGAAACCCTGTCTCAACTAAAAATACAAAAATTAGCCCAGCAAGTAGCCACATGCCTGTGCTCCCATCTGCTTGGGAGGTGGAGGTTACAGTGAGCCCAGATGGTACCACTGCACTCCAGCCTAAGCAACAGAGCAAGACTCCGTCTCAAAAAAAAACAAAAAAACACAGATTTAGCAGTAATCAGGAAGTGGCCTATGGAGGTGGGAGCTGGGGGACGCTTTGGGGTCACTTTGTTTCCTTTTTCTTTTTCTTTTTTAGCAATTCAGCATCCTCAATGACAGCGGTGGGCCGCTTTGGAGAAGTAGATGCAAGGCTTGCCTACCAGAAGGTGGAGGCCGGGGTGGACCTGCATGCCACCTCACCTCCTCCCTGTGCCCACCAGGGGGAGGAGAGGACAACAGTGGATGTCTTCCCGTGAAACGCTCTGTCCTGCCGGCCTGGACTGATCTCAGAGGCAGCCCTGCACCATGTCAGCCACAAATAAGCAAGCCAATCAAAAGGGAAAGTGGGCATGTCTGGCTCGGGTTAGTGACAGGGGTTAGTCCAGGGTGCCAGTATGTCCCTGAGCTCTTTGTCATCAGGCAGTGAGCGGTGGCAGCCCAAAGGCCACTACAGGGACTTTGCCACAATCAATGGATCCAGACAGCGCTCCCTCCACCCTCGCCTCTGAGGATGCCTGCCTGCACCTAGAGCTTCTTTCCTGAAATGGAATTTGCTGAGCAGCAAACTCTCAAGGTCAGTGGGTTCTATCTGCAATTGGCGCCCACATTACTCTTTTATTCCACTTCCCTCCTTTCACTGCCCTCCACCCCGATCCCAGACTCCCTGTCCAAGCCTTTTGGCCTGGAGATCTGAGAAAGTGACTTGTTTAAACTAAGGTGTGAATGATTACTTATATAAAAATGATGTGCCTAAAGAGAAGAATGTATGTTTAACCCAAAGAAATGAACAGCTGGCCAGGGGTGGTGGCTCACACCTGTAATCCCAACACTTTGGAAGGCCGAAGTGGGTGGATCACTTATATCAGGAGTTTGAGACCAGCCTGACCAACATGGCAAAACTCTGTCTCTACTGAAAATACAAAAAGTAGCCAGGTGTGATGGCATGTGCTTGTAATCCCAGCTGCTTGGGAGGTTGAGGCACAAGAATTGCTTGAACCTGGGAAGCAGAGGTTGAAGTGAGCTGAGATCGCATCACTGCGCTCTAGCCTGGGCAACAGAGACTCTGTCTCGAAAAAAGAAAAAAGAAATGAATTGCTAATTGTGGTGGACTTTAAGGCATGAAGAGAAGGGAGCTAAAACCCCTCAAGTCACTACCACAAGGCAGGATGAAGGTATTGATTGGCAGAGGAAGAGGAAGAGGAAGTGGTTTTCCATAAGCACAGCTAGTGTCCACACCACGACCACAGCACCCAGGCAGGAAGACGGCCCCAGCCATGCAGAAGCACACACCACGGATATGAGCATGCTGGCTGGGTGAGATGGTGCTACCTAGGCGGCGGATGGAGCTCCTGGTCTCCTTCGCGAAGCTGGAGTTGGACAAGGTGGTTCTCCGGGAGGTGAGGACAGGGATACGGGTGACTGGGGCGCGGTAGCTGGGCACATTAGGGAGATGCTCCACCAGGTTTTGGAGGGCAGGGCCAGGGGCCACTTGGCCAGGTGGCTGGTCCTGGACCAGGCGATTCAGCTCCATGTTCTGGCCTAGTGTAGCCATGGGGCTGGGACCAGAGGGTCTCAGGCAGAGGTGCGACTGGGGACTGCAATTAGGAGCACAGAGTTGGGGGAGGCAATATAGGTGGGGGTCCTCCCGCCAGCCCAACATGACCAGCCTGGTGCCTACCTGCATTTTCAGCAGTGGCCCCAAAACAGAAGCATCACTCCTGTCCCTGGAGTTCAATGCCTCGTGCATCATCAGGTCACATGGTTGGGCCACCCAAGAGCACCGAGGGACAGCCCAGGCGGCCCCCAACTTCTCATGCTCCCTCCACTTACCAACCACCAGCAGCATTTCCCAAAAAAATTAGAATCAAAGAACCCAGAACTCACAGACTCTCAGATTCTTAGACCCAAAGAACCCAGGACTCATTCTTAGTACAGTAGAATTTTCCAGTCCCAAGCAGCCCTGGAGGTCAATTAATTTCACTTCCAACCAGAAGCAGTAACTCTTCTGAGGGACCTGGTTCCCAAACGGGACTGCATATTGGACTCACCTAGGAAGGTTTGACAATTTCTGTTACCCAGGCTCATTCCCAGAGATTCTGATTTAATGAGCTGGGATGGGGCCTGGCAGCAGGAGTTTGTAAATCTCCCCAGGTGATCCCAATGGGCTGTCAGGTTTGAGAACCAGAGCTCAGGGCTACTGCCCCTCAAACACAAACGTGCAGACCTATCACCAGGAGGTCTTGTTACTATGCAGAGTCTGATTCAGCAGGTCTAGACTAGGGCCCATGTTTCTCATTTCTAACCAGCTCCCAGGTTACCCCAAAGCTGCTTTTGAGTGCAAATGGCTATGCCTCAGCATTTCTCAGAGTATGGGGCCCAGACCACCTGCTTCCAAATCACCTGGGGAAGGGGCAGGACCAGCCCCACTGAACCAAGCCTGCCCCTGTTTGCTCCTGGTCTTTTTCATCCACGTGGGGATCCAGCCCCAGACCTGGACTTCATAGGATTCCTATAGATAAGTGTTGAAGTTAACAGAGAACCCTTTTCAAAGACCAGGTAGGAGCAATCTCAGGACACCCAGGGTTAGGACACCTGGGTCCAGACCCATTTCTGCCACTCGCTGGCCGGGACATATCCTCATCCCCAGTATTGACTCTGCCCTCAGTGCCAGCCACAGTTCTGGGTGACTTCAACACATTGTCTCCCTACTCTTCCCAGCAACCTGTGACCCAGGTGCTATTATTGCCTTGTTTTTCTTGATTTGGAAGTCATGGTTCAGCGGTCACAGAAGTGGCTCTGGGTCACACAGCAAAGAAGAGAGAGAGGAGCCAGGAGTGAAATGCAGATCTGTGCCTTGACCTCTTGGCCAAATCCACACACACAGAGCCTCAGGTTTCTCATCTGTAAAATGGCCTATCTGCCTCACAGAGTGGCTGAAGACCCATGGCTTGGGGAATGTGGAGTGTAAGGCACGCGACAACCACTGGCCAGAGATTGGGGTCTGCCTGGCTCGGCTCCATGGCCCAGCTATTGCTCAGCTCCGTGGGACTCTTTCCCTTCCACTGCCTGAGTTCTCAGGATTGAGGGCAAGGTGGTAAATCACAGCAAAATGTAAGTGCTGGGTACAGCCTGGAGATCAGGAAAAGCTCATAAAGAGACGTGGAGTGCACAACACAGTCAGCAAGTTCTGGTTCCAGTTTTCACTCAGCTTTGTGATGTCTGAGCCAAACCCTCACTGGGCAGTAGCCCAAGAGCTGCATCCTCATTGAGCGGAAGTGGCAGGAGGGACTGACTGGGAGGGACTTGCAGGGAGAGGCTGGCAGGAAGGAGTTGGCTGGAATCGGGATTTCCCCGGCCCCACCAGGAGTCCTTGGCCTCAGTGCAATTCCTTAGAGCCTTTGAGATACATCAGCAGGCTCTGATAATGTGGCCTCAAGACACCAAGGATGGGTTTTTCCCGAAGACAGGGTGGCTGAGAGGGCAATGAGGGAAGGAGATGGAGAAAGAGGAATTGGGGTTGCCCCAGCACAGATGCTGCCTCCAGCCTGAAGGACCTCGGACATTCTTGTGCAACCCATCACCACCACCACACCTACCTCCTGAACTGGAAGCTGTGGCCTCAGGCTCCTCCTTGGTGTCGGCCCAGTTCTGGGGCTCCTCCTTAGCCTTCTCCTTGGCCGCCTCCTTGACCTTCTCCTCCTCAGCCTCCTCCTCAGCCTCCTCTTCAGCCTCCTCCTCGGCCTCCTCTCGCAGATCCTGCAAAGAATAAAGTGGAAACAAACTGTGACCATCAGCCCCCAGCCCTAGTCTCAGCAGCTCCTGTTAGATCTGCCTGCAAGAGTCCACATGGGCTGAGTTCTGCTTCTCGCCCTGCCCAGCCAGTCAGGTCCTGCCAGCTCAGCTTCTGGGTACCCTGAGGGTTGCCTATACCCTGGAGAGGGCCGTGCACTCAGGAGCTACAGGGCCTAACAGCTGGACGTGTCGCCTGTAAAGAGGGACACTCTCCTTGCAGCCTGGCACAGGGTGGGGACAAAGCATCCACAGCAACATACTTCACAGTGGGTAAGTCCTTTCTGATCCTCCTACAGGCCCCAGGGAGGCCTCGGTAGCCCCCTTGGACACAGGTGGACACTGGGACCCTGAGAGGGGAGGCGACTTGCCCCAAGCCAGGCACCCACAGGAGGACTTGAGCCAGGTCTACCGACTCCCCACCCATGGCCTAGACCACTTTCTGACCCCTGCCAGGAGTGGGGCCTCGCAGGACCCATCACCCTGCCCCCTCAGTCCTGCGGGCATCTCACCAGCCAAAAATCCCCCTGTAAGCAAAGAAGACAAAGTCCCCATCCTTCTACTGATGCCAGGCCAGGCCTTGGAGCTGCCGGTGCCCGGTGCTTGTCATACCTTGTCTGAGACGCTCTGGGGCTGGGTCCTGTCTTCTTCACTCTGGCCCACGCCCACCTGCGACACCACACAGCTATCCAGCAGCACCCTGTGACCCGGGGCAGAGGGGGGCGTGCAGAAGAAAAGAACTGGGTTAGGGGTGTTAAAGTTTTCCGTAGCCCTGCTGAGGGCCAGGGCTCACCTGCAGGAACCTTCAGGGCAGTGTTCTGCTAACAATCGCCCCATCTGAGATGTACACTCAACAAGGCACTGTGAAGGACATGCCACAACTCTGCTAGGAAGGAGGGCTTCCTGGAGGAGGTGACCTGTAAGCTGAGCCTCCATTACCACAAGGAATGTCGGGGAGGAAGAGGTTTTCCAGGAAGCGGGAACAGCATGTACAAGAAATGCATGGAGGATGATTGGAGGAGCTGTCATCTGGGGTCTCCCAGACTCCGGACAATCTTGGTGATGGGTACAGTATGAGAAAAGTGAGGCCCAGAGAGGTTAAGTGACCTGATGAAATCACACAGCAAATTGTCCCAAACCACACAAACCTCAAACCCAGGCTTTGGTTCTTCCCATGCCATGAGATCAGAGCCAATGCAACTGCTAAAGCTATCATGGGTGCCAGGCCCAGGCAGCAGGAATACATAAGTGATAGGGCCAGGGGTAAGGCTGCAGTGGGCAGGGAAGGCAGTGGCAAATTGGAGAACTCATGTCCATCTGAGGGCAGCGACCACACTCCACTGGGAAAGGGGGCCCAGGTGGCCAGACCATTCCATTTACAAACAGAGCCTGAAATACATGTTTCTAAGTTGAAATTGTCTGATATTTAGATGCTGATAACTCAAATTAATATACCTTTATTAATATGTAGTAGCAAAAAGAACCTGTCTCCAGGCTGAATTAGATGTCTGCATGCAACCTCTGGGTTAAAATGATGACTGAAGGGTGCAGTGACTCACACCTGTAATCCCAGTACTTTGGGAGGCCAAGGTGGGTGGATCACAAGGTCAGGAGTTTGAGACCAGCCTGGCCAACATGGTGAAACCCCATCTCTACTAAAAATACAAAAATTAGCTGGGCCGTGGTGGTGTGTGCCTGTAATCCCAGCTACTCAGGAGGCTGAGGTAAGAGAATCGCTTGAACTCGAGAAGTGGAGGTTGCAGTGAGCCAAGATCACACCACTGCACTCCAGCCTGGGCAACAGAGTGAGACTCCATCTCAAAAATAAATAAATAAATAAAATGATGACAGGACCAGAGACTAATATGATTTTTGTAGTTAGGATTAGTTCTTGCTTCTTAACAGCCCCTCCCCACCCCTCAGACTCCTGTCATCCAGGGGCTCACAGAGAATGCTCTGAGGTGTCTGCCACCCAGGAAACCTGAATGCATCATTCTCTACCCAGAGGGCCAAGTCTCAGCCCTCCTGAGCAAGGACTGTGGGACAAGAAGGTGGGAACGGGATTGTTGCCTAGTGGGTCTGGAGCCAGCTGCCTGGCAGCAGGAATCAGTTGGTAATCACATTGCCACAGCAGCTCCTGGGCTGCATGCCAGGCACTCTGCATGCAAAGTCTCCCCAGATCCTCCTCCAAATTACCCTGAGAAATCTATAAACTCGGTACACCACAGCAACAAAATCATATGATCATCTCAATAGATGCAGAAAAAGCAATTGACAAAATTCAACATCATTCCATGATCAAATCTCTCAACAAATTATGTACAAAAGGAATGGACCTCAATACAATAAAGGCCATATATGACAAGCCCACAGCTGACATCATACCCGATGGTGAAAAGCTGAAAGCTTTTCCTTTAAGATCAAGAACCAGACAAGGATGGCCACTCTCATCACTTCTTTTTTTTGAGACAGGGTCTTACTCTGTCACCAAGGCTGTACTCTAATCACTATAGCCTCAACCTCCCAGGCTCAAGCCACTCTCCTGCCTCACTCAGTCTCCTGAGTAGCTGGGACTATAAGCATGTACCACCACTCCTGGCTTTTTTTTTTTTTCTTTTCTTTTTCTTTCTTTTTTTTTTTTTTTGTATTTTTAGTAGAGACAGGATCTTGCTATATTGCCCAGACTGGTCTCAAACTCCTGGGCTCAAGTGATCCTCCCACCTCAGTCTCCCAAAGTGCTAGGATTATAGGTGTGAGCCACCACGCCTGGCCCACTCTCACCACTTCTATTCAATGTAGTATAAGGGATCCTGGCTAGAGCAATCAGGCAAGAGGAAGAAATAAAAGGCATCCAAATTGGAAAGGAAGAAATTAAATTGTTCCTCTTTGTAGATAACTTGATCTTACATATAAAAAACCCTAAAGATTCCACCAAAAAACTGTTAGAACTGATAAACTAATTCAGTAAAGTTGCAGGATATAAATCAACATAGAAAATCCAGTAACATTTCAATATGCTAACAATGAACTATCTGAAAAAGAAATAAAACAACCCCATTTATAATAGCTATAACACAACATGCTTAGGAATAAATTTAATCAAGAAGGTGAAAGATCTGTTTGCTGAAAACTATAAAATATTGATGAAAGACACTGAAGAAGTTGACTGGGTATGGCTTATGCCTGTAATCTCAGCATTTTGGGAGGATCACTTGAGCTCAGGAGTTCGAGACCAGCCTGAATAACATGGTGAGACCTCATCTCTATAAGGTACTAAAACTAGTTGAGTGTGGTCGCATGTGCCTGTAATCCCAGCTAGTTGGAAAGCTGAGGTGGGAGGATTGCTTGAGCCTGGGAGGTTGAGGCTCCAGTGAGCTGTGACTGCACCACTGCACTCCAGCCTGAGCAACACAGCAGGACCCTATCTAAAAAAAAAAAAAAAAAAAAAAAAAACCACTTAAATTGATTGAAGACTACTTAAACATAAAATCTGAAACTATAAAACCACTAGAAGAAAATACAGGGGAAAAGCTCTATGATGTTGATCTAAGCCAATGATTTTTTTAAATATGAATTCAAAAGCACAGGCAACAAAAGCAAAAATAGACAAAATGGGATTACATCAAACTAAAAAGCTTCTGCACTGCCACGGAAACAATCAACAGAGTGAAGAGACAACCTACAAAATGGGAGAAAATATTTGCAAACCGTAAGTTGAATAACGGGCTCATATCCAAAATATATAAGGAACTCAAACAACCCAATTGTAAGGGAAAAAAACCTGATTAAAAAAATGAGCAAGGATGTGAATAGACACTTCCTGCTGTCTCAAAAGATGACATACAAATGGCCAACCAGTATATGAAAAGATGCCTAACATCACTAATCATCAGAGAAATACAAATCAAAACCACAGTGAATATCAACTTCTCACCTGTTCGAATGGCTATTATCAAAAAGACAAGATAGGATGGGCGTGGTGGCTCACATCTGTAATCCAAGCACTTTGGAAGGCAGAGGCAGGTGGATCATGAGGTCAGAAGTTCAAGATCAGCCTGGCCAACATGGTGAAACCCAGTCTCTACTGAAAATACAAAAATTAGCCAGGCAGGGTGGCACCTGCCTGTAATCCCAGCTACTTGGGAGGCTGAGGCACTTGAACTCAGGAAGTGGAAGGTGCAGTGAGCTGAGATCATGCCACTGCACTCCAGCTGGGGTGACATAGTAAGACTATGTCCCCTGTCCCTGCTCCCCCGCAAAAAAAAAGACAAGATAGCAAGTGTTGCTGAGGACGCAATGGAAAGGGAACACTTATACACTGTTGGTGGGAATGTAAATTAGTGCAACCATTATGGAAAAGAGTACAGAAATTCCTCAAAAAGTTAAAAATGGAACTACCATGTGATTCAGCAATCCCTCTGTTGGGTACAGATCCAAGTGAAATGAAAACACTATGATGAAGAGATGTCTACACATTGCAGCATTCACTTTTTTTTTTTCGAGGCAAGAGTCTCACTCTGTCACCCAGGCTAGAACGCAATGGTGCGATCTCCACTCATTGCAACCTCCGCCTCCCAGGTTCAAGTGATTCTCCTGCCTCAGCCTCCAGAGTGGCTGGGATTACAGACCCACGATACCACACCCGGCTAATTTTTGTATTTGTAGTAGAGACAGGGTTTCACCATGTTGGCCACGCTGGTCTCGATCTCCTAACCTCAGGTGATCCACCTGCCTCAGCCTCCCAAAGTGCTGGGATTACAGGCATGAGCCATCACACCTGGCCAGCATTATTTATAATAGCCAATATATATAAATAACCTACAAATCTATCAACAGATGAGTGGATCAAGGAAATGTTCTCGATATACACAATAGAATTCAGCCTTTAAGATGAAGGAAATTTTGTCATTTGTGAACTTTGAAGACATCATGTTAAGTGAAATAAGCTAAACAAAGAATGACACATACCATATGATCTCACTTATATGTGGAGTGTAAAAAAGTTGAACTTGCAGAGGGAGAGACTAGAATGATGGTTACCAGGTTGGGGAGCGGTGGGGTTGGGGAAATGTTGGTGAAAGGGTACAAAGGTTCACTTAGATAGGAAGCTTAAATTTGAGAGCTCTATTATACAGCATGTGACTCTAGTTAACAGCAATGTATCGTATTTGTAAAAATTGCTAAGAATAGATCTGAACTATTCTCACCATAAAAAAATGATGAACATATGAGGAAATGCATAGGTTAATTAGCCCGATTTAGCCATTCCACAATATATATGTATTTCAAAACTACAATAAATATACACAAAAATATGTACGATTTTTGTCAATTGAAAAAACAATTAAGCCAGGCACGGTGGCGTACACCTATAATCCTAGCACTTTGGGAGGCCAAGGCAGGCGAATCACCTGAGGTCAGGAGTTCAAGACCAGCCTGGCCAACATAGAGAAACCGTCTCTACTAAAAATACAAAAATTAGCCAGGCATAGTGGCTCATGCCTGTAATCCCAGCTACTCGGGAGGCGGAGGCAGGAGAAGCACTTGAACCCAGAAGGCAGAGATTGCAGTGAGCCAAGATCACGCCACTGTACTCCAGCCAGGGTGACAGAGTGAGACTCTGTCTTTATGAAGAAAAAAAACAAGAAAAGAAAAAAATAATTAACTTTTTTTAAAAGCCTAGGAAAAAAAACCAAATTC